TAAATTATATCAAGAAATTTTATTAAGTAGGGCCTATGCCATAATATTATCATAATTTATAACAAGTTAAATAAGTAAATAAGTCATGATTATAAATTATACTGCATAGTCATACACGTGAGTGAATAGTGACAGTGAATTCAGTGATACTGAATACTGCTTATCACAATGGTAAAAACATATAAAATAATCATTATAAATTATAATACAGGGTAATGTTAAAAATTCATATTATTAATTATATTGAATGAATTGAATAATAAAATTATTAAAATTGATTTGAAGATGTGAATTTAAGAAAAGACTAAGACTAAAGACTGACTTCTTTCGCTTCTGAGCTTTAGCTTAAAAATCATTTTTATTTTAAAGGTTAACGAGTGAAGACTAAAAATAAAAGTAAACACCACCTAGACCTATGCCTATTACTATTACTAACTATTATTACTATTATTACCACTGTCACTGTACCAGACTAGACTTAGACAGTACTACTAGTAATTTACTGTTGACATTGAAGAATATTAAATTGTTGTTTGAAAGTTAAATTATATTTAAGTGAGAATTCTATATTTAAAAACGAAGTGATTATTCACAGAGCTGTGCGGATAACGCTCGCCGTTATTCACAGATTTCGGTCTGCCGATAACGCTAAACGTTATTCACAGAATGTGATAAATTAATTAATGAATATAAAGTACAAAGTTCGTTTATACACATCTCCTCGGTAGAGTAGTGGTCAGTATCTCCGACCGTCACCCAGCAGACAAAGGTTCGATTCCCCGTCGGGGAAGCCTCATTTTTATAAATAAAATTTAAAAACAAAATATTTAATGGTTATTTCGTAGTGTTATATTATAATAATATTCTTCCTATAGCTTTCTTTTTCTGTTCACATAGTTTTATTGTTATTTTCATATAGTTTTGTTACTTATGTTACAAGTTTCAATCTATTTTGTTAGAATGTTCATTCAAGTTTCGTTAAAAAAATGTAAACAACATGGACATGCAATATGCAGATCAGCCGCATAAACCATGTTTAAGTCAGATACAGCTGTTCTAACTGTACATTGTGATATACTTTTAGCTCTTTTGACTGTTTAATTTTCTTTGTATAATTCCACTCATAGACTTTAACATCCATTTGTTTTTTCTCTAATAAACAAATACTTATTAATAACTTACTTATTCAAATATTTTAGATCACAGAGTTGTGTATTAATGTTTAGCTGAAAAAATATGTCACGTTTTATTTGTTTCATTTTATTTTCTAATAAGTATCATAATAAGTAGGGACACAATATGCCGCTCCAGAAATAGTTGAAATAACACTTAGTGATGACAATGAAATGAAGATACCGGTACCGTACTTAAAACATATCAATATCATTGACATCAACAATTTTAGCTCTTGTCAAAAAAATGTTGATAATTGAAACAAAAAGCCATACTGCCACTGTTGTAACTATGGGTCTAAATACAAAAAGCCATACTCCCACTGTTGTAACTATGGGTCTAAAAACAAAAAGCCATACTGTCACTGTTGTAACTATGGGTCTAAAAACAAAAAAAAGCATTAAAAAATTTGTTGGAAACTTGCTTGTCGTAGGATGCATTGCGAGTCTTGGGGAAGTAAAGTTCCCCTTCAGATCATATTGGCCTACCCATGGGGAAATTGAAGCAGCGTTTACAAGTTTGAGTGTATGGCCAGCGCAATAACCAGCCAGCTTTACTTTTGACCAGCTAATGCCAGAGCTGGGTAGACTAAGGGACACGCTCAAGGATGAGGAAAAAATACTAGCCTTAAACTTTAACAGGATTACATTCTGTTATTATCAATGTAGGGCCAATATGCCCCTCCCCATCTCTCACATGGCCACCTGATGCAGCCACCTCTCTGCATGGGCTATTCCTGACAGAACAATTCTGGACTAGGTGATATATCATAGGGCTTTTAAAACACTAAACGATACCCTATCAAGCTTTGACATCATTTTAAGACCTCTCTACAATGGGTGAAAGTGAGTCTACACGAAGAATACCGGTACGGGTACAATTTTTATTACTGGTATAATATTTAATATGAAATACCAGAAAATTAGTTATGTCTAGGAGTAGGAGGTTTGACTGGATCTATTAGTAACACTCTATAGGTCGAATAGACCCTATGTTGGCCCCTAACAGAGCAGATGTAGGCACAATTAATTGTCCTATATCCAATATATAGGCTATAGTTAGGCCAATTAAATTTTTTAAATTTAATTTGTGCATAGCTTCGGTTATGAAATGTGCTTGTGCCATACTCATTAAAGATTCTTTAAAGATCCAAATCTCCTACACTACTTAAAACTACACACCCACCCCGGCTTGGAATGTGATCTAGAAATGTGCGTACTTATGGGATCATTTCTGTCTAACAATAACACTCTGCATTATAGACCCACTAATTATCACTCAATAATAAATTTGTATGCGTGCATGGGCGCCCGCAGTTAGGGGCAAGTGGGGGGCACTTACCCCCCCCCCCCTTAGATTGATTGGAAAAATTTAGACAAAAAATGTATTAAAGTAAAGATAAAATAAAGAGAAAGTAACTAAGCTGATGTCCTGTCCGTTCGTTCACCATACAAATGCGCTACAGTAAATTAAGACTATATTAAAACAAACTAAAAAATTTTGCCCCCCACCCCAGGAAGTTAATCGATCCCCCCCCGAAAGTTTTCTGCGGGCACCCATGTATGCGTATACTGATTAAGCTAAGTAACTAAGTATATTACTTATACTACAATTGTGTATATACCTTATACTGCATAATATTTAGTATAGTAATAGGCTATTACTATTATACTACCGGTATACAGATATTACCATACTAATATTAGTAATAAATTTGCCCTTTTTTATAATTGATAGTGAAAAAAATTCGATAATAACTCATGACGCTTCAGTATACTAATAGTAATATTAATATTAATAATAGGGGTGTGCCGGATTCCGGTCCGGAATCCGGTTCCGCCAGATTTTGCACTATCCGGTGAAATCCGGTTCCGCCGGATTTACATGTATCCGGAACAACCGGATTCCGGAATATACCGGATTTCGGAATTTGCCAGATTTTGTGACTCACCGGATCATAATCTGAAATAAAAGTAATTCTCTTTCCCGAATTCCACACGATCACGATACATTAATCGATTGTTTCGAGCGTTGAGCTTGTTTAATGTTTAATATTCCGTACATACCAGAGGCTAGAGTCAGCACCGCTAATAGTGGCCAATAGTGTAGGGACTTTGATAAGAAAATTTAAACTTTTTGTAAAAATAAACCAATGGCATAGTTGAAAAGATGTAATTTTTTAAAGAATTATAACACCAAAATCATATTTTTAGCTGTTGTAGTTTTAAAGTTATGAATTTTTAAAGTACGACTTGGTTTGTCATTTTTTAACATGGACTGCATCTCCACATTCTGTGATCTCATTCCACCAATCCCGTCATGCGCAATGACTATATAGTTTATATAAGGCAACGCATTCCCTGCCTTATCACTAAAATACTGTTTAGACTTAGTTTAAACTTTCAACTTTGGCACATGAATAATTAATTAAAGCTTTCCCTGACCAATGGTTTAATAGTTTTTGCACACGGCAAACTCTTATGAATGAAACTCTGAGGTAGTACTACGATACAGTTATGCAAGTGGCTGTGAATGGTTGCCAATGACAACGTGTTGCACACGGTAAATTCTGATCATTTATAATATGGATTCTACCGGGTTGTTAAAGCTCAAATTAAAACATTCCAGTTTAAATGTCTTTAAATGCATTCTGAAACACAAGTTATCAATTATTTTGATGTAAATAGTGATAATAAATTAATATTTCCTAAGTATCGTCAACTTCCGCCATTAAAAAGGGGGGCGTGGCCAACCCCATGGCGAAATTAGGTTGAGCGAGCTGCATAACCTGCTGCGAAGGCGTAGAAACATGGCGTCTCTCTTAAGACACTTATACAAATGGAACGGAACTCAAATATATATCGAAAGTACTAATTTAATAATAAATAGACACACACATCGGAAAATTAAAAACTTGGATTTTTTGGCGCCGATTGCGAATTCCCATACACAAAAAGTAGTAGTCCACCTTGACTTACCGAAGTATCTACCAATAGTACCAAAATCCGGAATCCGAGAGAAACCGGAATCCGGACTATTCCGGAATCCGGATCCGGCGGATTTCGCATAAGAAAATCCGGATCCGGATCCGGTTGGAAAAAACGGATCCGGCACACCCCTAATTAATAATAATAATAATAATGAAGTTCATTTCAAAAACACGCTTCATCCCCAAAGGCTCGAAGCGCGATACAATGTCAACAAAATACAAATCTATAATTTACCACATTTAAAACAAACGCAACACTACAAAAACTAATTACTAGCATACAATTGCAAAGTCTTTCTAGCCATTTCAACCCCAATATTAATAGCCTACATCCAACAATAATTTTTCACCAGTCTAGATCTAATGCATTATATGATTATTCGCAGATTTCGGTCTGCCGATAACGCTAAACATTATTCACAGAGCTGTGTGGATAACGCTCGCCATTTAAAAATGTTCAATTTACTGATACTTACCATGAAACACCCATATTACTTAGATTAAAGCATAGGCTAATGTACTTTTTTGTTTTACCAACTTATTTAAAATGGTCATTCTCTTTGACGATATCTGAGAGATAACCAAGGTGGATAATTTTCCTTAATATTGTAAAATTAATTTGGGTTAAAATATAAAAAAAAATTATTCCATTACAATTTTTGATTTGTAGATAATAAAAAATAAAGAGAAATAGAACAAAATATCAAAAATTAATATTCCTTAAAATTCCCATATGTTTTCATGAAGCAGAAATGAATGATTTTTTTAAAAACATTACTATTTGATTCGGTAATTGGTTTAAATTTAAAATGTGACTGTAATCGGAAATAAAAGAAACAATTATTAATTATATAGAAATAGAATAGAGAAATCGGAACAGAGAAGAGTGGTTGAGGGAACCTTAATAATTTGGTACTATATTTTTATAGCCTATTATATATTTGACGTTTGGATAATTTCTATGTAATATTTGAAGCCCACTCCAAATATGAATAGAGATTTTTAATTTGCAATTATAATAATTAGGATTTCGCAGTTAATATAATAATTTAAAATAACACTGATAATGAATCATTCAAAATATTGACTTGGATTCAGATAGTCATAGACATATGACTGAAGTTTTAGAATCTTTTATTGACATTATTGAATGAAATAAATTGATGCCTCTGACACTAAACTAGTGAAACTGAAAGGACCAAAGTGTCTAAAAGTCTAAATAAAAAAGCAACAACATTATCAATGATTTGATGAATGAATGACTATCAATCAATGATAATCAATGACATGAGTGATGATGAGTGGATCATAAATTTTTATTTTACTGTCATTATTGTTTAAATGTTTATGATCAAGTTGACTTGAGTGAGTTTTAATAGACTAATAAGTTTTATCATTAATCTGTGCTTGTTAAAGATTAATTACCGTAAGGTACTTTGGTGTTACCATTCAACAAAGAGAGGTCAGCTGGGACGAGCATATTAACAATGTGTGCAACTAGGCAAACAAGACCCTGGGGTTCTTAAGGCATAATCTAAAGATCAGCAACTTCAGTGTAAAAGAAAGAGCCTATAAAGCCTTTGTATGGCCACTTTTAGATTATGCATCTTCTGTCTGGGACACAATTACCCAGAAGATCATCGACAGGTTGGAGGCGGTCCAGCAATGGGCAGCACGCTTTGTCCTGAACCTCTACAGGAATACCTCTAGTGTTGGCAGCATACTGGATAGACTGGGCTGTTCACTATTGGAGGAACGACGACGAATATCCATGCTTTCCATGATGTACAAGATAAATAATGGGCTGGTCCATTACTCCAGCATTAAACAGAAACTCCTCCTTCTCCCCCATAGACTGTAACGAGGCCATGATAGGCAGTTCCAGCTCATACCAGCAAGAAGCCAGTATAGGAACTGCTCATTCCTGCCAAAGACAATCAGGGACTGGATAAGCTTCCAAAAGGAACAGTTGAGGCGACAACACTTGACATATTTGCGTCTATTCCCTCAGGCCTTCCAGGGTGCATGATACCCTCACTAAATAGCCAGTGACATATCCTCATCAACACTAGGCACAGAAAAATTACAAATCCCCTCTACATGCATAGGAGCCAGAATGATCAATAAATTGATCGTGGGCACCTAATATATAGAAGAAGAAGAAACCAAAGTGAAAGTTAAATGGAGTTCACAGTTTTGCATTATTATTAATTAGTATGCCTAATTCTAAGTCATGTATATAAGTATTATAAGTGAAGTCATTAAAGTTAATTAGGGGCAAATTAGGTCAGGAGCAAAACCAAGTACCCGGTAGTTTAAGTTAGTAGGCTATGTGTTTTTCACACTGTTTTTTGCTTGTATTTCAGATCCTTAGCTTTACCTTACATAGTAAATAGTTAAAACAGCTAAGTATTGATTTCCTGGTAAAATAGGACAATCAAGTTTTTAGGTGTCATACTTTTTCTATTATTCCTAAGAACTATTCATCATTGATATTGATATTGACTCATATTTGTGTGACAAAGCAACAAAGTAGGCCTACACAATGGGCATCATATTTGTGATGAAAATTTCCTACCACCGAAGTCTGTTTGATCTGATTCTGGATAAAAACTTAGCCTAGATTAAGAAAGGCCTAAACGGGGCCATAATAGATAACTGTGCACTGTGCCTAAAATATGTAAATCAGTAAATAGGCCTATTTATGGGGCTGCCTCGTCTACATTATTAGTAATAGTATTTAGGCGTAATATTACTGACATATTATTGTAAATGTAGGCTCTAAAGCCAGAGCTATAGACTATAGACTAAACTCAATCATCAAAATGAATGTGCCAGAGACTGTAATAAGCTACCTTTTGAAGATACATAAATCACATGATAATACCAAGACCATGATGATGTGGGAAAAATGGATTGCTTTGATAAATTATTTGACATAATATAAAGTGTTTATTCCATGTATGTCTTATGGCATTTATCATGCACCAGGAGAGTCAAGTTAATAATAAGATATTTTAATGCAGCATTAAATCTTAATTGTATTATTTTGAAGTTTATTGAGATGTTTATGTTAAGAGTTTTTGCACTTTTGTAATTTTCAATTCCATTACAGGAAACCCAATCACATTTATTATAATTTTTCAAAAACTAATTTAAACAAGGCTCTTCTGCAAAAATAAAGGGATGTTTTCTACAAGTAGCCAGTCGAAATACTGGCTTTTTAATGGGGAAACTGAGCTTACATTCCACAGAACAGAAGCTAATGAAGCTTATATCAGAACTCGAAGAGGCAATCGAACTGTAAGTAATGTACTTGCTTTGACTAAATCAATGTCTTTATCAACTTGGGAAATAAATTTAATTTTTTTTTGTAATGTAACGATTATATCTGGGTAAATAACTTATTTTTTGGGGTTATTTATTTTGGAACCATTTCAAAGATTTTTAAATTTTATTTTTAAGTAAGAACTTTTTCATTGATTGTTTGGTAATTCTCTTATTAATTTTCTAAGTACTTTTTTTATATTTTTTTTTAAAGTCTTCATTTTTTCCCCCTTCCATTATGTTTTTCTTTGTGTACTCTTCAGGATGATGAAGCCAAAGCATATTTTCTGACTCCGAGTGAAGAGAAAATACTCAGCAGACAGTACGAAGTTGTCCTCTGCAAGTTCTGCTCTGAATTTACACCACCTATGCCTAGATGTGTGATAGTAAGTTAAATAGCACTCTTCAACATTCACATAAATTTGATATTTTGAAATTAAACATTTTTATATTATTACTTGAAAAATAAAAATGTATCTGATTTTTTTTTTTTTTAAAGTATCAACATAAAATTTTATAAATTCATAAATGGAAGTTTTATTATTTTTCCTTCCAGGGAAAATCACTTGCATTTTTCAAGATATTTTATTTTCATATAGCACTCTTCAACATTCACATAAATTTGATATTTTGAAATTAAACATTTTTATATTATTACTTGAAAAATAAAAATGTATCTGATTTTTTTTTTAAAGTATCAACATAAAATTTTATAAATTCATAAATGGAAGTTTTATTATTTTTCCTTCCAGGGAACATCACTTGCATTTTTCAAGAGATTTTATGTTCACAATTCTAACATGGATTACCACCCTAAAGACATCATGTATGTAAAAGTGATGCACCATTTTGAGCCAAATTAAACCCTAAAAAAACACCTTAATTCAGAAAGTTATGTAAAATTTATTTACATATTTCATCTAATCAAAATAATTTCATGAAAAATTAAAAACCAATGCATATTGATTGATAAGTGAATAAAAAAACAAGCAATGAAAGTTTAGTTTCTCTTATTTATATAATATTTATCTAATCTCCTAGGCTCACCTGTGTGTACTTAGCTTGCAAAGTGGAAGAATTTTATGTTCCGATTGGCCAGTTTGTACGCAACTTGAGGGGTGACAGAGAGAAGTTTGCTGATGCTATTCTTAGTTTTGAATTGACTTTGATGTCTAAGCTCAATTATCATCTGACTGTCCACAATCCATTCCGTCCATTAGAAGGATTTCTTATAGATATTAAAGTAAAATATTTAGGATATTTTTCCTTCATTTTCATTTAATGTGTTGGATATTGTTTGTTTGCACAATTTTCAGGTTGTTAATTTAGTTACATAGATCAATTAAAATTAGTGAATGAAAGTTAAGATTTCAAAAAGAAAGTTGTTAAATAAAGATTTTTATTTCTCTATTGAAGACTCGATTTAAAGAAATATCTAACCTGGAACGAATTAGGAGGCCTGCAGAGGAATTTATAGAAAGAAGCCTACAGACAGATGCTTGCTTGGTATTTTCACCTTCCCAGGTAATCTATTATCTCTTTTGGGTAAAGATTTTCTAAACTCAAGCCCTAGACTAAACTAAATTAACTTTTTAACTCTTTCGATGCGGAACAACGCACACTGCGTTCATCCGCCATTCTCAAAAGCATGGACCAAAGTGCTGTGCGTTGTTTTAATATCATGTTTGTTTCTTTGCTATTTCTCGGTTAAATTTTAAGAGCTATTTTTAAATAAGACTTTTACATCGAAGAGTGGTACTTCATTGTTTATAAGTATAAGCGAAACCAAGGTTTATTTGTTGTCATTTGAAGCATTATTTCAATGATTTTCTTCGCTTTTTTGTCTTCTGTTGCTATGGCTACTCTAGGCCCTAGTAGGTGAGTAAGTTTCCTAGACGATTAACAGCTCAAAAAACTTTGGAATAGTTTTATACTATTTCTTTTGATAGTGAAGATGATTTATATTTAAATCCATCGCATGATTTCGCCGAGAGTAGTAGTTTTAGAGGATTTGAGTTATAGAAGTGAAGATGAAGTATGCGTAGAGTTATAGAAGTGAAGATGAAGTATGCGTACATCATAGGGTTTGGGAAAAAAATGGTTTAGGATAAAATGTTTTTACATTTTATGGTTCTTTTCTGTAACTTATTTTATTTAAACTGAAGAAATAAGTTTACAAAAATATAGTTCTTTCAATTATTTGATACCAAGTTTAGTGTTATAAACCAAAGAATAATATTTTAAATATTTTTTAATAAACCCAACCTCTTACTCTTTTTCGCGCTTTGAAAAAAGTGTACATTTTTTCGATAAAAAAATGCCGCAGGGAAAGAGTTAAAGACACTATCTTTCAGTTTTATTTCATTTACATGATAAAGTATATGACTATTATAAGTCTCATTTAGATTTTTTAGTCCTTAATGTCTATTTAAATTTCAGATAGCACTCACATCTTTAATGTTTGGGGCTGCTAAAGAAGGAGTGTCACTAGACAGGTAAAGAAAATACTTACACAAGTATCTGTAAGATCAATACATATGTTATATAAGTTTCTACAAATTATGTCAATATTGTCAAGGAAAAATGGTTTTCCTATTACAATTTATTTTTTCACATTTTGTACACTTAGAAAACATCATTAATGCTACTAAAAGTGTTAATTCCGTAGGTATTTAAAAGATGTTTTGTTAAAGACAGCGACGACTAGAGAAATGGAGATAACTATGTACCAAATCCGAAGTAAGTGTTATCTTTGAATTTTCTACAAAAATATACATTTTTACAAATACAATTTGGAACAAGATATGTTACCTCACATTATTATCCTTTACAAATAAAAGAACCTTAATTTACCTTGATCTTTAATTATGGTAAAGATTCTAGCTAGCTATATATGAGCAAGTTCTCTTTCCTTCAAAGGGATGGTTGAAACTCATTTTTTACCCAATCTTTCAGGGTTTACCTGATTGCTTTGCCCCTACTTGATATTAAACATTATTTTTAAGTCTGTGTCTTCACTGGACAACAGTATATTCTGTTTTAATTGTTAAAATCACATTAAAATATTGTACTTAACGTTGACCACTGACTGTTCTGTTTAGAAAATGCCGGTAATGTAAATGTAAATAAATAGTGGAACAAGATATGTTCACGCTTGAAAAGAAAAGACAAACAGATATTTTGGCCAGAATGTAAATTGTAACTGCAAAATATTTATTTTGTTTTAAATAATTTATCTTTTTTTAAGTTGAGATTTTTTTATAGAGCTGTGTATCTGTATTTTGGCAAGTAATAAGATGAACATGATATTTGTTGTTCAGGGGTCAAGTTCACTGTTAAGGGTTATGAGCCAGTCCCTAGAGAACAGGCACAAGCTGTGCAGAAGAAACTAGATCTGTGTCGGAATCAAGAAAACAATCCTGACAGTGATGTGTAAGTTGGCAAAAAGCAAAGCTGCTTAAACAAAAAATACTTTTGCTGGAGACTAAATTAACTTATCATATTTTCTTCATTTTCTATTATTCAAAGTAAGAAACACTTTTTTCAAATCTACTTTTCTTTGTATTAGAAGTTTATTTCGGGGGGGGGGGGGGTGCTCTCAAAAATGGGGATAAACACACACACTTTCTGTGCTGTACTTTTGAAGAATGTTTTCTTCTAATTTAGAGAATAGTCTCATTCCAGGTTGCTGGGAGTTAAGATGGTAGAGAGGTTGTTGGAGAAGTTTGATGAGGAAAACATGATAAATGATTTTTACTTGTGATCTAGTTTCAAAATATTTTCTTTATTAGCCTCTAAACCCTAATCATAATCATTCAAATCAATTTTAAAAAGAAATTATTGAAGAAATTGGAATTCTTTTTTATTGATATTTTATTGCATTCTCTTCTGCAATTTAGGTTTAATTTCTTTTCTATACAACTTTATTATTATTATTATTAGTAGCCCAGGTCATGAAATCACAGTTTTTGTTTTTTATTAAGATATAAGCAAAGGATGTTAGAAAAGCTGGATGAAGAAGAAGACATGAGAGTCAAGAAAAGGGCCAGATTAAATGATGTGAGTGTCTTTCAGGCTTGCTTAAAAAGAAAGCATCCATAACCAAAACAGTTTCTACGAAGGGAAAGTTTTGTGGTCTATCTGCTATCACAATGGATTAGCATAAAATGAGTGAACAGCTCAGATAATTAACAATTAAATTTGTAAAAAGGAAAGTTTAAAAAATTGTTAAACATCTAGACAATGCAGGGCTATTTAAATCGAGTGATATTCTGTTTTTTTTATTTTGCTTGTCTCTATATTAAGAGGGGTTTTTTAAATTAATTCTGGTATAAGTGTAATGGAACTCTTTTAGCAATAGTATAGGAGAGAAAGTAGTCATGCACATGTTTACTGAAGAAAAGAATCATAAGTAGAAATGATGGCTTGGATACTTTAAAAAAAAAAATTAATAAACATATAGCAAATCTCTGTCCAAGAAAAATATCGCTCTTAAAAGAAAGTTGAACTAAATTAAAAGCAAGCGCAAATTTTTCACTATTTCAGGAGAGAAAAAAAAAGGCTATTTTGCTATATTGCACTATAAATAGCGCTATATGAGGAAAACATTTAAATGGCACTGAATATTAAAATATAAATGTTAAAATGAATTTAAGAAACATTTTTTTTTTTTGTAATAGGACTTTATTTTTTATCCTTTTGAATAGGACAAATGAAGACATACAAGTTTCAATGAAATTTCTGGCATCTTAGAGTATTGGCATTCTTCTAAAGACTTGAATCCTGTACAGATTATTATGAGAATCAGAGCAGATCAATTTTTAGCTGTAAACAAAATGGATTTCACTGCAGTTAAATTTTATTTAGTTGATCTTTTACTCAAGAATTTGAAATTAGGAAATTTTGAGACAGATTAGTCATTGAAAAGATATTAATTTAAGTTTTGTAATATATACTATTTCTTAAAGAAAACTTTAGATACATTAAGTTGTACATTCACTTTTGTCGAATGGATATTTGAATATGATTGATTTTGATCTAGTGCAGTGAAGAGGATGAGTCACTTGTGAGTGGTTTTTTAAAGCAGTCTGTCCATATTGAGAAAGCATTAAATCAATTTTTTAAATTCTCTTCTTATTCCTTTGTCTTCATATTCTTAATTAAAGTGTTCATAAAATAATTATTTTAAAGTCTTAAGCAACAACAAAAATGCAAAATGATTAACAATGATTTTATATTTTTAAAAAATGCTTTCCAATTATTATTGTGAAAACAGGAAATCATTGAGTGGGGAAAAAATGGTGAAATGAATTTTAGTTTAATTTTTCCTCTAGGCCAAGTGGTTATTAAAAATACATGAGATTGTTTTAAAACTTTTAAATTAAATAAAAAGTAAAATCCTTTTAATAACTAAACCAAGGTACACAGATTTCATTACAAGAGAATATGAGCCTACACGTTTAAATATTGTATAATGTAGAGAAAACCATTTAAAAGTATTTCTATGGAAAAAGTTGTTGATATTGTGTTAACATTTTTTAACCGTAACAAATATTCACGTTTTTCAGGATCCTAATCCTGATGATTTACTGGATTTAAGTAACATTATAAAAATGTTAAGTTTGATCATTTGTAACAGGATTTTAACTCTGGTTAAAATGATGCAGACTGCATTGTCCTTTGTCATATTGTTAAATGAAAATCAGCCAGGTCAACAGTGTGTGATGGAAAGTTTAAATACATCATTACAAATAAATTCACTTGAATACCTATATTCAGTATTAAATCGATGCCTATAAAAAAAATAAGGGAGGGGGGCACAAAATTATTAGGCGAAAACTGGAATATGCATATATTATTTTATTTAGAATGTCTGAATCCAAAATAATCAACAAGGATTTATATGATGTACATAACTAATTCACAGCATAACATTTAATACATTTCACAGAAAAATGTTATAGAGTTTTCTAAAAATGTGCATGACAAACATAAATTTTTATAATTACTGATTGTTTCAGAGCATACCTGTCGGAGAAGATGATAAAAAAAAAACACATTGATTTGAAGTTCAATGAGTTTAAAGTTTAAGTGAGAAAATCTATTCTTTAAGGCACAGAAACTTCAGAAAAATGTATAGCTTTAAAACAGTTCTGAAAGAAAGAAAAAAATTTGTCACTCCGATTCCAATATGACCTTTACAATTATTTGAAAACCTTCAATAAGCCTGTTTAAAAATTAATTTATTTCATTGGATGAAATAAAACAATAACTGTGCTAACACAAAATTAAAATTCAGTTTCCATTTTAAACAGTCAATAGTCAGTATCCACATAAATTGCTACATTTTTTAGTAAGGATTACTTTCAGCAAAATTAAAATACATGAACTACTTCATCAGTACATGTAAAAAAAACATTTTCTATTTATCCACATATAACATTTAATCCACTTAAATCATTTAAAATATAAAAATAAGCAAAACAAATCTCTAGACATATTTTGCTACAGAGGAAAAAAAATATCTTGAACTAAATTACCAGTTTATTCATTTTGTTTCAAAAGAAAAACAAGAAATAAATGGCTTGTAAATGTTTGTTTCCCCGTATATTATATAGACCAACATTTATAATTTTTTTTTTTTTTTAAATAAAAAATATCTTCAGCAGAGAATTCATAATTTTTTATTAGCAATTAAATTTGCTACACTAACTTCCAATCATTATTATTTTCAGACATTAATTAATTAATTAATTATGTTAATGGATCTTTCAAAAAAAGTTTCCCAAATCCAAGATCATAAAAATTGTTTACATTGATTTTAGCAACTGCATGCTCTGCAATCTTTAAAAAGTATTTTCAATAAAATAGTTTTACATATCTATTTTATAGAGAATAGCCAATTCTCATAAACCAAAATTCTGTTCTATCACACAGAAAATTACACAAATGCTTTTCATTTCATGTAAATAACATTTCCACAAATTTGAGAATACTTGTAATTTTCATTATTTTGAAAGAGATTTTAAAACATATAACACATTTTTTTAAAACTATTCACATTCAAAAATACTTTTTAAAAATTGCTACCTTCTAATAAAATATTTAATTTAAAAAAACACCTACTATACAATGAACACTCAGATCAAGTTTGACCATGCCATTAGTTGTCTTTATCATATTTATTTTTAAATAAATAAGGTAAAGTTAAAAACAAAATAACTATGTTGGGCAAAAGATAGCAGCTAGTAAATTGTTTTTTAAAATTGGTTATTAGTTCTTCTTTTATATATAAAGGGCCCACAATCAATGTATTGATCATTCTGGCTCTGATGTATGTAGAGGGGATTCGCAAAGTTTTTTGTGCCTGATATTGAAGAGGATATTTCACTGGTTGCAAGGGCTACAACAGGAACTGGGGGTTGGGAGGCCTGAGGCAAAAGATACAAAGGTATCAAGTGTTGTCGCCTCAAGTGTTCCTTTTGGAAGCTTGTTCCACTCCCTGATTGTCTTTAGCAGGAGTGAGCAGTTTCTGTTAGCGGTTTTAGGAAAAGATTTTGATAAACAAAAATTTGAGTGTTGGTTTCCTTACCTCTAAAATAACTTTTCAATGTTTGTTTCATATGGCTTTTGTCCTAATAAATAAATGTAAAATTTGTTCACACACATAAATATTCAGATTTGCATTAATTGCACAAATGACATTTTAAAATTAAAACTGTTGAATTGTTCAATAACAAATCAATGTTGCATTTTAAGTTACGGCATAATTATATATATACAAATACAAATTTTTAATGTTCAAACACATAACATGGTATTTATATAATCTGATTTAAAAGATAAATTACACCGGAAATCACTATGAGTGAGATTAAGATTGTATTGTATATCTAGTTTTCCCTGATATTTCTCTTGTAAGGCAAATTTGATTTTTAAATCCTGCTTACGCATCTTTGTATATATACAAAATTTTATTACATCTGATAAAATATGAAAAATCTCCTGTCCAAACAATCATAGTGAAGCAGAGTTAGATCACCATGTTTATGTTCTATAACATTATATTTATTGTATGAAAGTTGAAATGCTTCATCATCATTTTGCTCAAAAAGCCATGCGAAATATGAATCAAGATTTAATGCATGAAAGAAACTGAGGATTGTTCAAATTTATTGTTCTCAAAGTTCTCAGGTTTATGCTAGGCTATTGATATTCAATAAGTCAATTTTGTTTTTCAACCAAGTGTTTTTGGCAACTTAAATTAGGCCAAGTGAATAATTTAACCAACATTAGACTGACACATGGTCAACTTTGTTTAAGCCAATGCTCCATTCCTAATTTAAGACATCTTAAAATGTCTTAATAGTATCCACTTTATTTTTCCTATTTTAAAAACTTGCAAAAAGGATCATCACTCACAACAAACATGTTAAAAAAACACATGTCAAGCATGTTTTCTATACTAAACTATTTTTTTTTGTGGTGTTTTGTAGAGAAAAAAAATGATTTATACAAATGAACACAGAAAATGAATGTGACTATTTTAACTGATAAAATAAACCCAGACGGATCTATATTATGATTATAAAGATTTAAAGTTACATCAGTCCTTCACCAAGCCATTTTGGGAACAGTCAGTGGATAGATATGACTATCTGAACAGCACTAGCAAACTGACAAGGAATGTTTCTTATCACTGTGTAATTAATATAGACAATCTAGTGTTACCACCAGATATGACTCGTTTCAAACTTAATTTAACTCATAAATTGGGCAAGGAATTTCCTAAAGGAAAAGCCACTTTGTTAAATTTTCTTTTTCAAAAATCGCTTTTAAAACAATATAAAATATATAAATCTTAAAAGAAAACAGAATACAATTTAAATATTCTTTAACCGTTTGCCTAACTAGATTCCTCATGTCAGCTTGGAACACTTTTGTGCCTTGGGTTCTCTTTCCTGATATTATCTCCAACTTGTTCAGGAGCCAACAAATGAGTTCTCCTGCTCCACACATCATCCTCCTTCTCAGAATTTGTATCCTTGGATTCAGCTTGCTTTACAAACACAAAACCTTGGCTCCTTTCATCTGTGGGAGTGGGCACTTGATCAAAAACACTAAAATCTGGCATCTGCTCTGTCAATATTGCGCGGTCAGCCCCTTCAGAAGAGACATTGTCTAGAAATTTAAAAGAACTCAAGCTTGACCTTGGAGTAGACAGAGAAAATGAGAATGGAGATTTGGGTTTGCTGGAGCCCCCATATAGTCCACTGGTAGTTATGTTTTCTGAGGATCTGGACTTCTTTGGACTAATATTTGGGCCAGTATTCCTGCTGGAGGTTACAAGAGACAAGAGTGGACTGACACGACCTGTCTTGTGGACGGTGGGGCCAGGCTGTGGGGTTTCCTCCAAATCCGGTTGGTGCTGTAAATGATTTAGAACTGGACTTCGAAATGCAGATGCTATGCTGACAAATTTAGGGGATTTGACCTCAAGTTTAGCAACCTTAGCATGGTGTGAAAAAGGGATTTGGGTGTTGTCAATGTGGCGTTGTTCTTGCTCTTGCTGAGCTGCTTTGTTAACACTTGACTCCGACAGACTCCGGCGTTTGATGTTTGAGGCAAGTAGTGAGTTATCAGGACGTCTTTCCTCTCTGCTGTGGATTTAAGTGTTAGCTACTTTAATAAAAAAAATTTGGCATTATATTTTTTTTTAGATTACAAGGATAAAGACACTTAAGTTGATACTATTGTTTACAAGTGATGAAATTAATCTAAACTAAAATTTACTTTTTTAAGCTAAATTATGTCACACCATAAGGAATCAATTTGATCTGATTAGGTCCTGACATAAGTCAAACTACTTAACAAATACATTAAAAAAATGTCAGCAGGGGTACCAGCCCCACTGTAGACAAATAAACCTGCTTCTTCTAGATCCCTCAGTCATAAGGAGGCTGGGCTGAGAAGTGGCCCACATAGAGAGAAAAATTAAATTTACAACACCGTAAGCCCTGTTATATGGCTTGGTGCAATAGTCATGTTTAAATATTCTTCACAGAATTGATTAAGGTTATGAAAAATTGATTAACCATGCACAGGAATGGTTTTGGTTGATGTAGAGACACTCATCACATTAATTGCTATTGAAATTTCTCCCCTACCCATTTCTTTCTTTGTCCTCGGGAACCAGTGCTGCTTGTGACCTGTCACCCTCGCTTCTCCACCTTCTGCTCTGCAGAGATGATGATGGGTCATGTTTCAAAAGACTGTTGCGTGGCGATGTTGGTGATGTAAGGGATGTAACTCTTGATCTATCACCTGGCTTCAGAGAAATGGACAGCTCATTGGAACCTGAGAATCCTTTCAAGTAACTTTCTTTTTCTGAAATAGAAAAGAATGAATCGTAATGTAATTTTTAAAGTTTAGTAAGAAAAGAAATCTTTGAAGAAAACTGATGAGCTTAATATAAGTGATAAACCACTTAAATACATACTTTTAATGGGAACAAAGCTTGTAGAATTCTCCCTGTCCTGATAAATTAAGGAGCAGTGTCCATTTTTTTAACTTTAAATTTGAACGCTCAAATCATTTATGCTAATAAAACCATTTCTATGCTACTACATTTACCATGATTGAAGCAGTTTCATAGCAAATATAAACCCCGGCCTTGGGACTACTCTTAGACATTCTGCAACTCATATAATGTAGTAGAGGAGGGGGGTGGGGGTGTTATTTGGTTTAATTATTAGAACAAAATGAATAGCTTATTAGTATCAACACTTTAAACTGCAAGGGGTTGAAATTAATGAGTGTGCACAGTTTGTCTGTGATTTTAAACCAAGTTGTGTGTTGAATAGGGAACATGATGGCCAGATGTGTTTAGTTTTTGATGCTGCATAGTTATTGATCTATTTGGTGTAATCCTAAATGTGTAATAGGTCAGTTAGTGTTATTAGGTAGCAGGTGCTTGATTCAGCAAACAGAGTTAAGAGATCTCACCCTGGCCAACAAGTGGACAGCCCAGCATTACTGACCGCTGCATCAGAACATACAGTGCTGTGTTGGCCACTTTCTGCTGACCGTCAGTGGGTGACTCAGATCCTGTGCCTCTTTTAACTGCCTCTCTGACTCTTGGGGCAATCTGTTGATTCCATAGTGTTTTCATCCACCTGGAAAAATTGGTAGTTCAGGATTAAACAAAGTGCATGTAGCCTTTTATTACATGATAATAACAGTAGTCTGTCGTATAACTTTGTTTTCAGGCCCCATGGAACAAAACCTAAACATAATGGAGGACATTTATTATATTTTTCCACAATACAAAATTAAATTTCCCAAATTTCAATAACTTGTGACTGTAAATCTTGTTTTCATGAGGCTTTTCACTTTTTGGCACAGCTAAATTAATACAGTTGAACTGGTTCAGAATTCTGGACCACTGCATAGTTAGAAAGGGTTTGGACTATTCTTAAAATATTTCATATGCAAAAAAAAAAAATACAAAGCTGCTAGACTTACTCAAGGATAAGTTCGTGATCTTGCTTCTCTAACGGACACTTGAAGAACATGCATGGTCCCAGCACAACATCCAGCAGACCAAGTTTATTGAGGCTGTCATTGAGTCTCTGCCAGACACAGACTATCCACTCCACTGATCGAAGAACTGGATCTTCAGGGGATGGAAACTGACCATGGTATGTGTTGCAAATCCTTCGCAAAAAGTGCCTGGCAAGCAATCCTCGTAACGGTTCAGTATCCAATCTAAACTGGACCCATCGAAATCGTGGAAGGATTGAGAGATCCACACCCAAAGATCTGGACCAGGAAATAAAAAATTTAAGCGCCAGTTAAAAGAAGCCATAATTGTGAAATGAATGTAAAGAGAAATTCAGTAATCAAACTAATAGTTCAGTTAAACTCAACTTGCCTTGATTTATTCATTGTACCGATAAGGTAAAACTGATCAGTCAAGTAGTGCATTCCATTTTCCACAGGATCATTTCCTATAAACATATAACATGTTATTCTTTTGATAAATACTATGTAACAGTTTTTGTTGTTGTTTTTTTACACTGTATTCTCATACCTAATAATGGGTGCATTATAAATTAAGCAATATCCTAAAAAGAGTTTGATGATTTTTAAAGATTTTAAAGAGGACACTAAATAAATAACTAAAATGATGCTGGAAATCTGAAATCTATTACCAATACTTGTCCTTTTTTTTTTCCCAAGTTATTTTTTTAAAGAATTTATTATTTTCTAATGTTGGAGCTTCTCTATCAAGATTTTATAGAAAAGGTTTTAATATTTTTTGCACAGATATTTTATACCTAATTCTCTGTCAAATCTAAATTGTTTAAAATGATCTTCAGAAGGGAAACCATTAAATGACACATTTGATGTTGTATTAAAGCTGAGTGAATAGACTTGTACCTCTGAGAAAGAAAGCATGTTTGATTCCCCTGTATTCCATGGCGTCAAGCAGCTCCCCAAACATTTGGGCAATATCTACAGCTTCCAGGTTGTCCAGCACCAGTATAGGAGCAATGTTCTCATGGCCTCTGTTTATAGGCACCACACAGCCTGTTTTAAGTTTCAATTCACAGAAGTGTCAGTATTTGACAAAAGATGAAATAATATATAACTGAGCAACAGAAGGAACAGAGCAAAGCTCGTATATCCTGTATTGAATAGGAATTAAACAACACCTAAAAACTAAGTTTTGCTTATAAATCCTTTATATGTATTTTTGTTTGCATTTATATGTATTGTACATGATTTATCATTTATGTGATTGTACCAACTGATTTTTGGTATGGGAATAGTCTTTATCACACTTAGTGCATATAAAACCTAATAGATTAAAGATATATTTAAACACTAATACGTCACAAATACCAACCACATAACAAAAGCTACACAATTAATCTCAATACCAAAACATGCAACAATTGAGCTAATCATTAACATCATAAGCCCCTCCCCCCCACACACACCCCCCTTTTTCAAAACTGATTTTTGGAGATGGGACAGAAAATTTGATTGAAGGTATTGTCATTAGCAACGAGTCTATGTGCCAAGTTTTAGCTCGATAGCATGACAGGAAATGTGTAAATTAGCCTTCCGAAGATTTTACCACAGAGAAACACACGAAAGCAAAGTTAATATAAAGGATTTAAAGCCAGCTCCAAAAATATAATCCAAATCCCTTCATTCATTTATCTTTTTCATGTACTTCTTTGTGCTATTTTTCTGGTTAAAGCTAAGCTAAGTTTTGATTTTCATGTTACTAAACACAGTTCAGCAAGAAATAATCTGTGCAAGTTGATGATGTTGTAAACTTTTAAAGAAAAGATCTACCCTGTGACCATGTTTTAAAAATGAATGATTATTTTATTATTTATATGACAACTGAGTGACATAAAATAATATTTTAATTTTCATATTGTTATACTGAATTATGCCACAATTTGGGAAATTTAAAATGGAAAAAAATGTGTAAATAACTTCTGAACTTTTTTTTAGTACCGGTATATATGATCTTAAAAAGGGTAGAAAATGTTATGGTAGAAAATGTTATACACATCTTACTTTTTTGCTTGAGAAAGGTTAGGAAACTAGCCCATGAATATCCTGGCTCTAAGGAAAGCTGGTATATTCCTGGCTTCCTTCCCTGTGCCATTTCCTGGGCCTGAATGTAAATGAAATTCTTTTTACAAGTTTTGTAATGTAATCTTATAGAAAGATTGAATTATACATTCTCGGGAATGATCACAAGGTGCTCCAAGGAATTTAGAATTTTAGAGTAACATAGATGTACATGAGATATACATGAAAAGTATACATGACAGTAATGAGTTAATAATCTGCAATCTTTTGTATTTCTATTTATTGTTAAATTTCTAGGCGGAACTGCACTTGCTGCCATATCAAATGAATAGTGCCTATTAAAAGTTATACTACTAAAAAAATTTCATCTTACAAGTATTCTGAGACAGTATTACTGATATCAAGTTACTTACTGCAATACTCTGAGCCAGCCTTTGGGCCAAGTAAGACTTCCCACTACCAGCAGGGCCATAGAATATCACACTCTTGTATTGTTCAAGCTGATAGAAAAATGGAATTAAATTATTTTTTATGTGTAAATTAGTCATCAGTCTTTATAGATTCTCAGGATTGATCACATACAATTAGAGTCTTTTTTTAAAAGAAAGGCATTAGTTAGGTCTTTATACATTCTAAGGAGTGATCACATAAAATATCTTTATACATTCTAAGGAGTGATCACATAAAATGTTTTTATACATTCTAAGGAGTGATCACATAAAATTTATTTATAACTTCTCAGGAGTGATCACATAAAATTAGGGGTGATAAAAGTAGAAAAATAGGCTGATATATCAAAGATTTATTTTTTTATACAAAATAATTTATGTAAAAGTTATGCATAAATCTGTTGATACTACCATTTCATTTAACAAATGTAATGCTCTGTCTGACGTGTTCTAGTGACACACAAAGCTTTTATGCAACTGGGTTCTTTCCACTCACTCACTATGTAGCATTCTTTGAAATGACACCCTCTACCATAATCCTCCAACTAAAAATATTCAAAGCTCCTAAATTTAAATTGTATTCCTAAAGAAAATCTTACCAGACGCAGATAATTATTGATGTTTGCCACAGGCTGGAGGACATCAAAGGCAATCAGCTCACTCATGTTGCCAGCATCTAAAACAAAAGTTACAAGTTAAAAGTAGAATGAATTTTAATAGAAGCTGTTGATTTATTATTTGTAATGGCTGTTTAAACACCTAGAAAAAGAAATGTCACCAGGGGCTACATTAACCCTTTCTATTTAATTATTTCCTCGTGCGGAGGTACTGATCTTCCATCGAGTGCCTCCCCAGGTGACGGATGGGGAAACCCCACCAGATATGGAGGGTACCAGGGAAATAAAATACCTGGGGCGGACCAAAATCAGAACCTACTGCCTTGTAGGAAGTGGAGGGATCCACAAAGCCAAGGGAACCTTACCCAAAAACTAACGCAGCTATCCAGAGAGCTGTAAGGGGCAACCCCCCAGACGGTTGCGTGCAGGGTTAACAACCCGGCCACGAAAAAAAAATCAACGTTACGAAAGCCAAGCAACAGAACAAAACCCGGACTGATACCAATGGAAATCGAACTATGCATGGATATGGACATGATTTTTGGATTGCGACTTGGAATTTACTAAGCCTGTTTAGAGCAGGAGCCTTAGCCAACCTTGTTAATCAGCTGGTCAAATATAAAATATCTATTGCTGCATTGCAAGAAATTTGATGGAAAAATTCAGACATCCTCAAAACAAAAGAATACACCATATTTTATAGTGGTAGTAACACCAACACACTAGGAACAGGATTTGCCGTGAAATAGAAGCTGTCATTGCAGTCATAGGCTTCAAACCAGAAAACGAAAGATTGTGTTCATTGCGAGTGCGAGGAAAAATGTTCAATACTCATAAATGTACATGTTCCAACGGAAGACACGGAAGATCAGAATAAAGAATCCTTTTATGAGACACTGGAAAAGATCTACGAAGAGGCACCACGACATGATATTAAATAGTGATTGGAGACTTCAATGCCAAAATAGGAAAAGAAAAGGTGTTCATGCCAACTACCAGGATCTTATGATAGTGGCAGAAATAAAAAGAGGCAGGCTACGCTGGGCAGGACACCTAGAGAGAATGCCAAATGACAGGAACAAAGAGGGTGCATCACCAATACTCCAGAGGAAAAAGGCTCAAAGGCAGACCTAGGCTTAGGTTGATAGATGACGTAGAAAAAGATCTACAGCAACTGAAAGTCCAAGCATGGAAAAGAAAGGCATTAGTTAGGTCTGAGTGGAAGGAAGTGGTGAGGCAGGCCAAAGCCCTACATGGGCTGTCGCGCCACAGGTATGGATGGATTTAATTATTTCATAACCATCACTGAAACGTCCATCAATTCAGGGTCAGTGCAAACTGCTTGAAGACAAAATGCTCTCCTCCACAGTGTCTTCAAAGTAAGAGAAGAATTTAATTTAAAAACTACTTAAGATACTAGCCTCTATTCTGTATTGATATACTATTATCAAATATCATGACTTATTTTATTCAGTCTTATATTTCCTGACATTCTGCCCTCTCCATTTAAGTGGAATGGAATATTTAGCTAATCTACCTAAGTTTTCAGCCAAGGCTTGAAGAACTGGATTAATAATTACAACAAAAAAACATCTCCATGCATTAAAAATAAATAAATAAGCCTTCCCAAAAGATTTTTAAAAACAATATTTTATAAAGTTGTTAATTGTTTTAATAATTAACAATGAGTGCACATCTTAAAACATTAGAAAGAAAATGATGAAGCAAAACACCGGCTAACCTACCATCAACTATAATGGTAATCCTTTTATATTGATTGTTGGTCAGCATTGCATAGGGTGCTGTATCTGTCTGCATGCCTGGAGTCCACTTGTAAAAACCTGGGGAGAGATTCCAAGCGGACACAAATAGCTCATTGCAAACCAAAACAGGACATCTGAAAAATTCCTACTTTTTTAATGCAAGTCTCAGAGTAATTTCAATCTGTATTTTGATTAAGTGATTTAATCAGACGAACACAAGTATGTCTTTTCTTTTTATTTAGATTAAAAAAGGACTCAGAAAAGTATAAGTAGGCAGAAGATTATAAGTTTGATGCACCAATTCTGTCTGAGGATTATTACAATAGCCTACAGCTTAGCTGGGAAAAAAGGGTAAAGTTTTTTCAGAGTTTGGGGAAGTGTTAAAATCAACCGATCAATCATTTTTACATCATCTTTTACCAAGAAGTGAAAAAGACTTCTTAGAAAACCTACCCATTTCAAATTGCTTGATATTAGCCACAGTGAGTCCAAGAGTGAATCCTTTGTCAGAGTCAACTTCTAAACGTGTGATTCTCCTTGTTTTTAAACCAGCATCTAGCTGTGCAAGATAAACATCTAAGGTAGCCCTGAGATTATGTTCTAAGTTTCTCCAGCCCATACCGGGACTAATCTCCATGAAACCAACCTGAACATTGGACACAGTTTTTGTTTCTAGGATGTAGCGCAGCTCTACCTGAACTTTCATCACTGGGGCGACCAGTTGATCTAAAAATAAAACAAAGGAATTGAAACATTAAGATTATTTATTCAAAACAAATGCAGGGCAAGTTTCTTTCCTGGAATAAACCAAATTTATTGGCGTATAACACGCACTTTTTCTCCCTGAAAATAGGGGGCAAATGATGTGTGCGTGTTATACACAGATATAATGTTTAGTTTTTTTCCTGAAATTTCCTTCTTAAATTGGGGTGCGTGTTATACGTGGGGGCATGTTATACGCCAATAAATACGGTAATTGTTAAAATTTAGTAACTAAACAAATTATTATGTCTTATTTATCTCAAAGCACTCATGACGCCTTATGTACCCACTAGAGAGCTCCGCTCATCCGATAGTGGCAAAATATCGATACCGTGTGTTCGCCTTGAGACTTACGGAAAGCGCACTTATGCATTTGCCGGCCCAACAATTTGGAACGCACTTCCAGTCACTCTCAGAAACAGCCAGACACTGGAGTCCTTTAAAACCGATTTAAAAACACATCTATTTCGCAAACACCTTCTGGGGTGATGCTATCTGCCATCTTTTTCAGTTAATGCATATTGCCATGTGTTACTTATGGTTGAAACGGGATGAAAGACTTTGACTGGGTATGCTCGTATGTAGCTTTATATTGTTGCGTCTGTTTTTAAATGTGGTAAATTTTAGATTGTTTTTATTTCTCTTTTTAATATGGTTGACTTTGTACCGCGCTTCGAGCTTTTGGGGATGAAGCGTGTTTTTCAAATGAACTTTTTATGATTATTATTATTATTGTTTTTTTAAACTAGGGCTTGTAGCCCTGAAGAAAAGAAAGAGCATATAAAGCCTTTATCCGTCCGATTTTAGATTATGCATCTTCAGTCTGGGACCCATTTACCCAGAAGAGCATTGACAGGTTGGAGGCGGTCCAGCGACAAGCAGCACGCTTTGTCCTAAACCGCTACAGGAATACCTCTAGTGTTGGCAGCATGCTAGAAACACTAGGCTGGTCACCATTGGAGAAACGACGACGACAATCCAGGCTCTCCATGATGTACAAGATAAATAATGGGCTGGTCCACTGTTCCAGTATTAAACAGAAACTCGTCCCTCTCCCCCATAGACAGCGACGAGGCCATGTCAGGCAATTCAGGCTCATACCAGCAAGAAGCCAGTATAGGAGCTGCTCATTCCTGCCCAAGACAATCAGGGACTGGAACCATCTTTCAAAAGGAACAGTTGAGGCGACAACACTAGACACATTTGTGTCTTCAAACCCCTAGTGCATAATTTCCTCATCACCACCAGTAACAGAAACATTGCAAATCCCATCTACATGCATAGGAGCCAAAATGATCAATAAATTGATCGTGGGCCCTTAAGATATAGAAGAAGAAGAAGGTTGGAAGCCCCTTACATTTATTATTTAATCAGTGTTTAAGCAAAGAACCAGACCACTTGTGCCACACTTACCTAGATTAGCAAGAGCGTCCCGGCAAGACGCTGAGGCTATAGCTCTGGCAGATCTGCCTAGCTTGTCCTTGGCATCAAGGTCTAAAGGCAAGTTCTCAGTTAACACTGCTAAACAGTCCTAGAGATAAAGAAAAGGACATTTTTACTCACTTTAGTTAATAAGGGAGGAAAGGGAACATACTTTATCATAACTGGCATAACAATGGTGGCTGGGATCAAAAAGGAGAAGATTAAGTGGTTAGTCTAATGTCAAGTTATTTCCAAATGTTGAAATATCTAACTGCAGCCTTCTGCTTTAATAAATAGTCATTGGAATTAACTAAAGCCTTCAAATAAAGAAGGTTAACTAAATCTAATGGTATTTCAGTCAATTAAACAAAATTGGTGGTAAACAAATATTAAACTCACCAGCTAAAAACTGTAAGATTAGATAATAAAAACATACATATACAATGGTTAACAGAAAAAATTCCCCCCTCACCCCCCCATGTAAATGATTTGACTTAGGGATTGCTGAAGTATCAGGTTATGCTCAGTTGACTGAATGTCACATTTTTTAAAAGGGGGGTCTGGACTTACTGGTTTTGGAAGATATGCAGCCATATGAGCCACAGTCCAGCCATCCTTGTCTGTGATCCCAACAATTTGATACCCCACATCAGAATCTCTGGGTGAACTGGGAAGGCCAAGCTTGTCTAGCAACAGTTTCAGGATGTCTGGGTGGTTGTGTTGTACAGCATAGTGAATAGAGGTCAGCCCATCCTTAAAAACAAAAAAACGCTTATTTTCTTGCTGACCACTTTTCTATAGACAAAAACATGTCTAAGTGTAACTAGTTGGTAAATGCACTCATGCTTTTCCTACTATCTTGTAATTATGAAACTTTTCTCTAAAAAATATCTGCAAGTATATGTTAATTTTTAACATTTTATTATTTTAGGATCTCATATTGATTGTCATGAAAGGTAGTAGAGCTACTGAATTGGAATCCTGGAATTTTTTACTGTCTTTAGTGTCAAAAATATGTTGTAGCCGTGTGGTGACGTAGCTTACAGTGTAAATGAAATCACAATAAAACAATCAGGTCTAAGAACTATAGCCTTTTAATTAATGTAAGGTAAAATCCGTTGACAGAGCCGACAGGAAAATCTCTCACTCCTGCCGCCGACCCGACGCATCCGTTCCACACCACAATCTCCCAGTTCGCCCCCCCCCCACACACACAGGGAACCCGCGTCCGAGCTGACCATTGGTCAACCCCAGAGCAGGGATGGTTATTCCCGCGTGTAAATAACCTACATAAAATTTAAGGCCAGTACACGGCTGAGTGTTACGTTGAATGACCATGTAGAGCAGGGATGGTTATTCCCGCGTGTAAATAACCTACATAAAATTTAAGGCCAGTACACGGCTGAGTGTTACGTTGAATGACCATGGATAATGGATGTGTACGTGCTTGGGGTTACCCATAGCAGTCACACTATGACTATGCGAGTGGATTCTCTTATATAGTGGCACATTGCCACATCCACCCCAACTGTTTAAATCCCAGCGTCCCCGCTGGGCCTACTACTTTGTAATAAAAATTTAGAGAACGATCGAATATTTAAAAACAAATTAAAACACTTAGCATAAACAATAACTAGGACTAGTGTCTTTTTGTGCCACGGCGATGCCAAGTGATCTGCGTGGTATAACTGGTGGAGGTACTACTGGTGGAGGTACTATTGGTGGAGGTACCACTGGTGGAGGTACTACTGGTGGAGGTACTACTTGCGTTGTTGTCACGTGTTTACCTCGTGAGTGTGATGAATGTTGGGGAGCAGCAATGACAGGTACACATGTGTCATGCCGTTGTGATGAAACCTGTCTTGATGGGATAGCATCTAAACTGGACACGCCTGATTTTGAATCTGAACTTAATGTCCTTGTTTGTGAGGATGAGCTAATATTGTTCAGGTGCCCTGTACTCATTGTACTGGAAGTTGGTGGTGGCGAAACCATGGTAGGGATTGAATCCTCTGTGGTTTGATGGGCTTCTTCCATTGGATCACTTTCATTTCTTAATAAAATTTCAGATTTCTCAAAAACATTCAGAAGTTCTCCCTTAGAATTAAAAACGTGTGTCTTTGTTTTTAGTGTTACTGTGTGGGTCATGATAACGGTTCTTCTCTCAACATCTGGGCAAACTGCCGGTTGTTTTGGTGCAACACTAACAGAACCATCCTGTAAAACAGTGTCAGAAAAATTAACTGTTGATCTCTTCCTAATATTTCGACGGTCAATATGACCAGCTGTATTAGTCACACTTTCGGGTTGAAGTTTAAGAATCGTATTTGCGTCTGAGTTTGTGGATCGCACATTCTCAGATTTAGTTCCAACAACAGTAGGGCTAAACTGACCAGGCTCTCTTACATATGTTGACACATGCTGACCAGCAGTAGGCTGGTCGTGAGCAGCATCATGGACAAATGGCATCTTGGATTTCCTTTTTGACCGTCGCCTCTTGGGGTGTTGTGGTTGTCCATTTCTTTGAGAAATGTAATTTTTCTTGGCACAGCATACCTGCTCTGTGTGACCTCTACGACTACACCAACGACATAACACATCCGTGCGTGTGGTTTGTCGCTTGCGCTTATGTCGTCGCTGATGTGTAGGTGCTGGTGTAGACTCGGTAAAACGGACGTCGCAGTCCCTTTCAGGCGATGGAGGGTTATACCTTTCTGCCCTGGCTGCCACTTGATGGTCAATACGAGCCATAAGTTGTGTTGTCAGCCGGGTCAGGTAAGGTGACGGTGATGCTGAGAGCTGGGCGGTGGCGACATCAGAAATGTACTCACGCATCCACCGTTGTGCTTCCCTACGGACGTCATCAAATGAGCGGCTAGTGTGTAGCCTTGCGTAGGCCTTGACATCTCTGCGTAGTGTGGGTGGTTGGAGACCTTGGATGAATACGTCACGCAGTATGTCTTCTGGGAGAATGCCAGGTCGTGCAGAATTAGCTAACATGAAGATGTTGCGCAATTCTTTCGCATAGTCCTCGACAGTTTCCCCAAGGTATTGTTGTCTATGGTAGAATGCGGCCGCTAGAGTTGTGACGTCACGATGATCACCCCAGTTCTGCAAAATTAAGTGCAGCAGTTTATCTGGAGTGTCTATCGTAGCAACAGCTTGGTCCAAAATGTCCTGACGAGCACGTCCCTCCAGGACACCTATTATCCAGATGACCGCTGAGTTTGCGGGCATCGGCTGAAGTTGCAGGAATAACATTACTTCCTTCACAAACTGCTCTGCATTGCACTCGCCACTAAATTTAGACAGCTTGGGTGGACTGTTGGCTAGGTGAAGCTGCTCTACTGCAGTTTTCTCCATCGGTCGGGCTATGTGTGTTCTGTCTATGATTGTGTTACCTTTTCTTTAAAACTGTCCTCAAAGAATCCTGCCGACAACGCCAAAACTGTAGCCGTGTGGTGACGTAGCTTACAGTGTAAATGAAATCACAATAAAACAATCAGGTCTGAGAACTATAGCCTTTTAATTAATGTAAGGTAAAATCCGTTGACAGAGCCGACAGGAAAATCTCTCACTCCTGCCGCCGACCCGACGCATCCGTTCCACACCACAATCTCCCAGTTCGCCCCCCCCACACACACACACACAGTCACAGGGAACCCGCGTCCGAGCTGACCATTGGTCAACCCCGGAGCAGGGATGGTTATTCCCGCGTGTAAATAACCTACATAAAATTTAAGGCCAGTACACGGCTGAGTGTTACGTTGAATGACCATGGATAATGGATGTGTACGTGCTTGGGGTTACCCATAGCAGTCACACTATGACTATGCGAGTGGATTCTCTTATATAGTGGCACATTGCCACAATGTTTTATCTGTTGTGTGATAAAATGCTGGAGACTGAGTAGAAGCAACTGAAATCCAAAATGAAGTAGACGTGTGTATTAAAGTTGCCTATTCCCTATAGTCAATAGCCCTCAATCCCAACCTGGTTTAAAGGTTGTTGTAAAATGGTATCTTCCAAGAATAATTCTCATGTATTTAGCTCATGAAAATAAATGAAGTTCACTAATTAGATTTTTTATGTTTTATACCCCCACCCCCCAAATGATTGCTGTTATTTACACAGCTCTAAATGGACAATAGAGTAGAATAAACGTTATGAGTAAAATAATAAACTCCTAGAGCATGTAATCTTAAGTAGGAAGCTTGATATTATACTGACCTGGCCGGTCCACAACACATCGGCATCATATCTCAGAAGAATCTGACAGCAGTCCAGTTGGCCTGCCTTTACAGCGAGGTGGAGGGGAGTTTGATCGGTGGCGGAGGCCAAATTAACTTTAGCTCCAACTGACAGCAGCAGACCCAAACATCTGAAGGGAGTTAAAATGAACACAATAAACACATTTAATGAACACAAATACTGAAATAAATTAATTGAATAATTTGGTCTTATTTAAATGGGTTAAGGATCTAAAATGTCAAGAATCTCTTATATATAATACATTAAGTCGTAGGTATAAATAATTAATGATTCAGCATGTTATTGACTGATAACAGTTTATTAACTGGAAATGAGGCCAAAATGTGCCAAAGTGTCATCGTTTGATAGCCATTTTAATTGTTTCTATAGTATAGTAGTTACTATCCTAGTGTCTCATTTTTATTTTACTTAGTTTACATGTTTTTAATAACTGTAAAGCGCTTAGAGCTTTAAGGAAAGCGCTATATAAAAATGCCTAAATAAATAAATTATTGAGCACAATTTTTACCCAGAGTATCCTTTCATTGCAGCTATATGCAGTGGGGTGAGGTTACCATCCCTGAAACAGTTTGGTGAGGCTCCATAACTTAACAGTACCTTTAAACTAGCTGTTGGGAGATGACAGTGAAATACAAATTCACACATCTTTCTTTATGACACATAAAAGGTGATAGTTTAATGTTTTGGGAGTTCTTTTGGGTTAACTGGAAATGAGGCTTAGTGATTCAATTGGCTCAAAAACTGCTTGTAGTTTTGTACAATTTTTAAACAATGGAAACCCCTGGAAAGGGGGCAGAGATCTTAGTCATACCTTTCATGTGAATCTTAATCTCCCTAAATTTAATCAGTTACATCTCCACTAGTTATTTCACACTGGATAGTTTCTTGTCTACGATTAATGGAATTGCTATTTTTTTTTTTTTTTTTTTTTTTTTTTTTTTTTTAATAAAAGAATTTTCAGAAAATCATCATAAAAATTACTGTAAACAAAAAATTTAGACTGATGAAAACTATGTTGACCTCACAGCTGCAATATTTATTATTGTAATTTGAAATAAAAAGTGTTGGTTTTGCTATTCTGGATAAAAACCAATTGCAATAACATGAAAAAAAAAAAATTCTTTTTCCTGAAAAAATTAGAAGTTGATTGAACCATGACCACAGGCCCACATTCCCAGTTTACATTTTGTTAATTACCCATGATTAATATTCCCACTAATATTACACAACACATGTGAGCAAAAAATATTTTCTAAAGAGCAAATCATATGTTTTAAGGCTATAAATAACTCCAAACAAATAGCCTCTAATGATTTTTTTTTTGTGTGCATAGGTGCATTTCATTTCAGATTATATTGTATATTTTAAACTCTGACCTTCTTGCTCATTCTCAACAGCGGTGTGCAGTGGAGTTGTCCCATCTTTAAGTGCTAGATTCACTGCAGTAGGTGATGTCAAAATTTGGTGCAAGGCAATGACATCTCCAAGAGCTGACTTTTGGTGTACATCCGGCAGGCGATCATCCAAAGGAGAAGGTGAGGTCAGAGGTTGGAAGACAGAAGAACCAAGAGATCCGGGAATGGATGACTCATGGGCGGCCAAGACTTTGTGCAATGAAGATGACCGTGAATGATGAAGTAATGCTTTTGTTGGAGATTTGGACCTCGATCGGGATGGAATGCTTTTACGTCTAAGTGATGGTGAGGTGACGGTGGTGGGCAGGGAGAGGGGATTAATGAGAACATTTTGGTTCGGCGTGACCAACCCGGCAGGCTGGTTGATTTTTGGTGATGAGGTCATTGTTGAAAATGATGGGCTTACTGCGGTCGGGGATAATATGTTATGACTCATATACGTGTTTGGTGTGTTGGTTGTTCTCTCATCGTAAATGTGGAGCGGTACACTAACGGGTGCGCCGAGCTGTGCTGTAACTGTTGTTGAGACGTTCATCTCTTGCTTGTCAAGAACCAGCTTTAGTGTGTTATTGTTTTGCTCCTGCAAGTCCTTGGCATGCTGCGATGGTGGGATTTTGTTCATGTTTGGTGATGGGGGATTTGATGGGTCGTTTTGTGAAATGGGAGTGTGGGGAGAAGTTGATGAAAGTAAGAGAGGAGAAGAAGAGCTGGCCTCTGGGGCAGATGACATGGTCACATGTGGATTACCCTCACTGGTTTCACCTGAAGTCATTGGTCAATGTAAAAGAGGAGCAAGGGGGGAGGGAGGGGGAGTGGAGAGAAATAAAAACATGTATTACATCAAATACTGGATTTTTATGTTCATTAAAGGAGTAAAAACCAATATGTATTATCTGTTAATGTGGGGGGGGGGGGGGGGGGAGATCGGAGTAACTGTAGGGGGTGTCCTCAAGCTGTGGCTGAATGCCTTACTTTATGCAGTTCAATGCAGACCAAATGAAAAGTGGAAACCTCATTAAGTGTACAAAGAAAATAATTTCAAACTAAAAGTTTGGAGATCACTGCAAAGAGTAATAAGGATTGTAAAAACTTTACAAACATACCACAAACAGCTGTGCACAAGTTAATTGTTGAAAATAAGTCATATCACAGGAAAATAAAGTTTTAAGGAGGTGCTTGAGAGGTTGTATTCACTGAGGAGTGCTTGTCATGCAGTGGTTTCAGTGGATACAATTTATGTGTTGTTTTTTTTGTATTTACCAATTAGCCACACAACTGAAATTAATACTTCAGGGGGGAGGGGGGGGGCATATTTTTAATAGACTGATCAGTTTAAATATAAACATTAAGCCGTCATTGAAGGTTCAACAATTTATAACCCAACCAAGTTAAAAATCTAAGTTTATTCTAACTCTAAAGTATATATCCATTTACCTTCTGGGTTAACTAACATTTAAGGGGGCTGTGCATACACCTGGAGGACACCGACATTAATGCCTGATCCTTTTTAGGCATATTTTATTATTCATAATAATTGATGGACTGCATTCAAGTTGTGTAAAAGAAATATAAGAACAAGATATGCCAAACTTGAATTTATAGACAGGACAAAAGATCAAGGTAAACTTTCCCCAGTCTCTTCACACTTCAACAGAGGGCAACATAAAGGTGCATTAGATGTATCCATTAAGGCACTAATTTCTGGCACAAGCACACCAGAGAGAGTGAAAATGGAAAACAAATTTATTCAGCTTTCTAGTACCATATCCCCACATGGTATGAATCAAATACTCTCTTACTAATGTTTCTCAATTCCCCTGCATCTCTTCTTTTTTTTTTTTATTATTCCTTAAATTGTATGTATCCCTAAATATTATGGTCCGTTAAGATTCTCTAACTTTCTTAATTGTCACAGTACCAATATTCCTTTACTTCCTGTAATCCTACTTCCAGCAACAAAAGGAAATCTTGTACGTTTTTTTTTTCTGTGATCTGATACTTGTTATACCTATTTTTGTCTTGTTTTCTGATGAAGGCTCTAAGCCGAAACGTCAAAATCTTTTGTCCTGTCTATAAATTCAAGTTTGGCATACCTTGCTCTTATATTTTTTATTATTCTCCAAGCCACATAAAATTTATTTCTAAGACAGGACTGCAGAAACATTACACAAACCAATCATTACAATTTTGAAAATCAGAAGCAATGTAAGTAAGTTATACTTAAGTCACTTGGCTGGTTTTTTTTCTTTCTTTCCTTGAATAATTTTAAGCCAAGTAAATAATTGCGGTTAATATATAAATGTATACATTTTTATATGGGTCACAAGCAGGAAGTTGGAGAAAGCAGGATATAGGTGCTCCAATTATTTCAAAGGTACATTTGAACCAAGTTATGAAGCTTAATGGAATAAGTTTCAAAGACATTTTAACTCAAGTCCTCATTGCAAAAGATTTGGCTTAAATGAACAAGATAAATGGTTATCAGACAAATGGACTCATACAAGGATGTAAAGATAAAAATAAAAGAGGTTTTTGATTTGGATGAATTTATTGCACAGACAAGTCATGTATGTATAATTGTCTAATGTTTGTGTCCAACAGAAAGTAGTTGAGACAATTAGTGTGGAAGATCCATCCTAGAACAAAACATAGCACACCACATCAAGTTTTGTATGCACTCTGACATAATTACAAATACTTTACAAGAGTTGTATACAATGGTAAAGCCATTCAACCACCCAAGACAAAAAAAATTACATTGGGGCAAAAAGCCATAAAATCAATTATAATGCTCTTTAAAACGTCATTAAAGGGTATCTCAAGATCACACACTGCACACTTCTTTGTTACAGATATAGAGCTTTGTTATAACACCAAAATATTGGCTATTTTAATAAATTGTGACACAACCCAACAGTTGGTTGATTTTAAAATCCATATTACCCAGTAAAAACAACCAAAGAATTCACAAAAAATAATATTTCTTTACATAATAGGAATTAGAAAAATTTCAAGTCTTTGAAAGAGTTTAAAAAGTTACATTATTGTGTGAAAATAAATTGTGCAGAGCCTTTTTTTAAATTTACTTTTTAAAGTTAGTTGACATGCGGCTATTATATTAACTTACTCTTTAAAATGCTTCAAAATGCTCTTTACTGATTACTTGTAAAATCAAAGTTCTCTTAATAATTAAATCATTAAAAAAAATAAAATAAAACTCATGTTTAAGATTTTACTCTGAGTTGCAAAAAAGAATGTTTGAGATAAAGTTACTAGAATGTATCAAAGACTAGCCCAATGTCCCTAATTCCACACACATAATAATGTATATGCCATGTGGTTTTTAAGTCATGCTGTGGATCATTGAATCCTGTTGTGGTGTGCTATAAGCTTCTAAACCAAATACACTATGAAACTCTGAAGGGTTACTCATCAGTGACAAGTGGTCTAAGTGTGAACAAGCTCTCTGATCTAGCACGAGCTTAAGCATCAGTGGGGAGACACAAGCGGCTCAAGTGGAAAGGAAGAATAAACAATTCCACTACAGAAATAGATAGCCATGTACACTGGGTTCATTGGAAAGTGGGGGGGGGGGGGGGGGGGGGAATATATCATTACAGGCAATTTCTTACAACAATATGTTATGATTAGTAGGCTCTAATATGTATAACATGATATGGAACCATCAGTGAGAGAAAGCAGTCTGTGTACACCAATCAGCAGGGAGGCAGTAACATTGACAACAAATGTGAACTACCATGTGAACATTTCTATGAGAAATATAATTTGTGACACATGTTGAAAATATTTATATGTTTTAAATCTTTTTCTATTAACTTTCAATACTGGTGTTCTATTATTTCTGCCCACATTCTTCCTTAACTCTGATTTACATATATTAAATGGTGCAGAAGACATACAGCTAATTATAAAATTAGCTTTTTCAAAGGCAGATTTAAAAAAAATTATTTATTAAAAATCTGTTACTGTTATATGCCAAGCATTCATACACAAACCACTCATTATTTTAATGAAAAAATTATTTTTAATAGAAGAATGCAATGAAATTTTACATTTTGGATAGAAGCAATTTTCTTTAAATCTTTAGCCAAAATTGTTTGAAAAAAAATTCTATAAAAAATTAGTGCTTACTGGTAAAATGCAATTTAAAAGTTTTTCAATAGGGATGGGCACCGGAGTAGCATTTGAATTTTATTCAAGTTTTCTCTATCTTAAGACACAAGATAATCCAGATCCCAGAAAGAATTTTAAAAGCTTTATTTGATGCAGTTGTTAAATATTTTATAACATAATAATAACCATTACCATTGAGTTAAATCTAGAAAATCTAACCTCTAAAAATATATCAGACCTTTGGTTAGAAACTGAGTCTACATTAGTGAGTATATAAAAATAGCAGAAACAATTGTACAGCATGCAAAGAATCTTTGTAAAAATGTATGTATAAAACTTATAGATTTGTACAGCCATAATGTACTCTGATGATAGGTATATAATTATATATATATAGATGAGATGAGCAAATAATGCAACATGGGACAATTGGTCGGCTTTATCAGGCTATTTGGTCATAACATAACATCATGGCCTTCAAAGAAACTGCTCATCATCTACGTTTCACCAAAATTAGTTTCATTCAAGGTCAAAGTTCAAACATTAGATTATAGGGCCATTTTTTGCTTATTGTCTACAATTTTAAGTATCTGAATGATACATTTCAATAAAACTTGTAGCTGATGTGTTTGAACTAACAAATGTTAGCTCCTCACTTTTAAACGTGGATTAATAATATCAGCACTGCAATAGCTATTCAAACTTATGTCAAATATAGCTATGCAAGCTATTTAAGAAACCTGTTTCTACTAAAGCTCTGCCAGGTAGAGGTTTCCAATAATTAGTTTTCATATTCGGAATATCAACTATGACATCCGAGTACTTTTTATCCCAGTTTCCTAAATGGAAAGTATGAGACAAATGGTGTCTGAATGACTTCACAGGGTGTAGGATCACAAAAAATATTGTCCTAATTTATTTTTATAAAAACATGTGTTATGATATTTATAGATTTCCTACTCTATCATGTCTTAACTACATGTTTCTTATTTTCCACTGACCATGATGGCCAACCATAGTGGGTGTAACAATCCCACATGTCCCAGCAACACCTTTTCTAGTCATCTAGTTTCTTTCAACTTAAATTACAACTTATTTTGTAAATATTCTGTTAGATTAAAAAAAATTAAAATACTTTGAGCTAAAATATATATTTTTCTGATATATTTTGATAACGTTAGTCAATACTTTTGCAGAACTATTTAAATAGAGCTAATGCCTTCAATTTATGGGATTTTCTGATGGGATATTTTGTTGGGACTAATGGCTACCAATATCCAGTAGAGCCCTAGTTTCCACCGAATCACAAAATTATGCACATACGATAGAAAACCAATACATTTTAACATCAATTTAACAGCAACAATCTGCACAGATTTAAAAATATTTCTCATCTCAAATGGTTGTTTCAAATAAACAAAAACAACCACAGTCAATAAAACATTACAGAAGGCAATTTAGTCAAGAATATAAAGTAAACAAGAACATAATTCTTCCCATTTCAAAGTACAACACATGTTGAATGTGGAGCTAACAAAATATGAGAATGTTAGAATTAAGTAAATCTGTGTTACCAACCAAGCGGCTTAACATTAGTCTGTTGGTTTAGTAAACAAAAATAATAATTGAATGCTCAATTTATAAGATTCTCACATGAACTTCTCAATGTATAATAATTATCATTACACTGAATTTTTAGGTCAAATAGCAGCACATGGGCGCATATAAAAAATGTGGATTTCACTAGATATCTTTGGATTAATTTTGCACTCAAATACAGCCTCTTGCCAGGAGTTTGTGCTTTTGTTGTTTTTTTTAAACTCCTTAAGTATATATATATTTATTTTTTTTCACTATTCCAAAATAGTTCTCACGATGTTTAAAAATTTTCAGATTGAATAAGCTCAACTTAATAAATATGTACCAATGGTTGTTAAATATATGTATTAAAGTGAGTCTGATGCCATCCTATTTACATGTTTGTGTTTATTCTTAAACAAATCAAAGATGGGATAAGATAAGTAGTAGTTCAAACAAGCAAACTAAAAGTACAAGCAAAAATTAAATTTTTTAAAAAGGGTGCTACTTGTCTAGCATGCATGTACGTGTGAAAGCTCACCTCTCGTCATTGTGGCCAAGAGCTTCTGTAAGTTGGCCATTTCTGGGCCTAGAAACTCTAGAGAGTGGCTCGATTCGGGGTGACTGACAACATTGGCTGTAGTGGAAAGGTGCTCTAAGGGTGGAATATCCACAAGAGGCTGCAAGGAGACAGCAAGCACATGCAGCATGCAGATAACCAAATATATTGACACTTCAACATTTATCAAATAAAAGTAGGGAGGAGAAATTAAATGAAAATGCAAGATTGATGCACATTTAGCTTTTTTTTGTCTTTTTTTTTTGTCAGTAATAACAAAAACAAAAATAAATTCTATGACAATAGTAGTACAACAGTGCAAGGATAGGTAGATAAGTGCAGACAAAAGAACATTTAATAGCTTGTTGTTTTTTAAATTATAATATAACAACTAATTTGAGTGTTAACTTGATGTTAGCACAAATGAGTAGATGCCACTTTCCAAGATATGCACTGTTAAAATACACTGTTTTGATTTGTTAAATATTAATTTTGTAACAGGAATTATTATTAAATTAAGGTAATTTAAAGTCGAAATTTAAAATCTCACAATAATGCATATCTATAGTGAAATATTTTTTTTAAAATATGATTATTGTAAAGCAAATAAATTCTTAAAATGATGGGGAAAAGTCATATCCTTAAAAAAATCTGTAAATCTGCAACAATTATATCAAGCACAACCAAGAGAAAAATTAGAATGAAATTACATATATGTCCCTGAGAACTATAGCTATGCAGACTATCAATTAATGCAGATCTCTAAGAATATTGAAATAAATTTAGACATCTCTACACATCCAGAATAAATGAACAGGTTTAGTTGTGTTTTCAACGATGCCTGACATAATAATTTGAAAACATTTGAGACATTTAAACAATAGAAAATGCACTACAAAGAAAGCTTACAAATTCTTGTGACTGATTTCAAATAGTACACTTTCTTTCTCTTAAATTCAATGTTATAGGCATATGAAATTAACAAATTTAAAAAAAACACTGGTTCCTAATTCTTATGACACTCTCGACAAGTATAAATTGGTATAGGCTTTTTATTGTTTCAGTTTTGTTTTTGTTAGGTAAACATTATCACTTAATTTTGTATAAAAAGGATTTGAAGGGTACACTGCCTTGCCTTTCCAACATAAAGAAATGGTGAGTTGAATTAAAAATATCAATGAACCCCAAAACCATTCACATTGTATTGAGAGGAATCATATCACATGCCATTTGATCAATGTGCTCTCCAAATCTTGGGGTTGTATTCAAATCACTATAGTACTTAGATATTGAATTTTAAAAACACACAGAAGGAAAAAACATTTCCTAATTTGAGTGATCCCAATTTGAACATATCCAAATTTTTGTTAAAAGATCAACAATTGGAGAAATATTAAATTCTTAGATTTTTATAGTGCTTTGAGACTTAAAAGTATTCATGTAATTTTCAAAGAATTTTCTGATGACCTTTAAAGACTATTTAATTATTTATAAAGGTATGCATTTTCCAAATAATGACACTGATCTTGTGAACATGAAATTCTCCATGCTTAAATGCTTATGTTCAAATAAAAAGAAAGCAGCATGCTTATATTGTTTTAACGCAATAAAGTATAAAATGTGTAAAATGACTAAAATAAATGCAATGAATATTTATAAACTTCTGCTAATACTTTTTAACATTGATTTGTAATGCATACAAAAAAAGTTACACAAAAGGTGCTGTACAATCTCATATATCATTGAACAAACAAACAAACAAAAATCAATAAATAAAAGTATATATATATAATATGGACATTGGACAAAAAGTGAGGCTAATACAACATGAAAATTCAGATCTGGCATTGCCACTGGCACGAATCAAAACGTACCATATCCTAGGATTGCATAAGTAAAAGTAAAACAATGATGCAGTGGATATCTATCATACTGAAACAGTGACCCTGTTTCTTTTTTTTTTTTTTTGGGGGGGGGGGGGGGGGGGTTTATATTGCACTTAGATGTATGTTAGGTGGTAGTTGGGTGCTACACTGTATATGGGACAGCTGCTTGCTTGATTAGTATCTGGTGTGGAGAGATCAGCTGAATGAGCATGTGCAAGTTAGTAGTGCAGGTCATTATTCATTTGGAGACCCTCAAGTCTTGCTGTGTATGTCCTACATTACTATGAGCAAGCAATCATTTGGCATTGACACAAACCTGAGAAGTTTTCCTGACAGCTGATGGAGATGTCTCTCTGACTTGTGTGCGGACACTAGCAACGGATCCAGAAGGGGAGGGCTGATTTCCTGTGGATGGGGCACCACCAACAACAGTTACTGGAATTTGAACAGCTCTCTGTGGCTGCTGACCTAGTGTTTTTCCAGGAGTGTTAGAATAGTGACCAGTGTGAAGACCTTGTCCAGGGCTTTGAATCAGTACACTAGATCCCACAACAGAAACTTTCGGTGGTGGGGATGGTTTAGTGCCTCCTGGAACTGGTGAAACAAAGTTTGGTTTATTGGGGGGTATTGGTGGGGGAACTCCACGACCAATCGGTGATGATGCCTGAGGACCAAAGCTAGGTTTTCTGACCTGCGGTTGGCCAGGGACTTGTGGACTTCCTCCTGCAACATGAAAGGAAATTTTACCCCCACTATGTGTTGTTACTGTTGTACCAGACCCTGGTGGAATATTGACCACTCGAGCACCTGTACCTATATCCACTTCCATTCTATCCATGCCAGGTGCAACTGCAGGTCCAATTCGTATGGATCCTGGCCCCTGTCCTCTTTGTAGTGCTGATCCAGCAGAAGACGAGATCTCAGGCCTGTAAATAACTTCTTTTTCTGGAGAATTGGAGCCTATTCTTCCTCCATCAGGTAGTTTGTTGCCAGATTGTGCAGAGTAAAGCTTACTTGTTCCGTGAGCTGGGTGCAAACCTGATGCAGATCTAACACCCCCTGCAGAAGGTGCTGATGACTGAGAACTGTAACCCTGGGGAGGAGTATTATTAGGACTGGGACTTACAGATTGTGGTGATGACCCAGAAGACATGGTAACGACACCAGGAATGCCTGTGTTCCTACCAGATGCTGAGTTTGTTGCTCTGGCTGGTGATACAGTTGATCTGGCCTGCATACCGCTTGGTGATGTTGTGCTGCTTCGTAGCTGCACTTGTAATTGTTCTAACTGTTTTGAAAGTCGAGAAACTTCTGCCCTCAATATATTGGTTTGTTTTTCTTCTTCCTGCAGTCGGTGCCGCAATGACTCTCTCTCTGAATCAAATTTAGAGCTCTGCTTATCCAAAGCAGCTTCCATTTTCAAAGACTTTTTACTCTCTTGAGCCAAGCCTTCTGCCATGTTTTGAATTTTTGATTTCCCATCCGTCAGAGCTGATTCCATTTCATCCCGTAACTGGTTTTCAGCAACAATACGTTCAATTAAATTTTTGCGTTCCTGAGAAAATAAGTTATGTATTAGTTATTGCATAATAAATCTATTTGTACTTTTGATTATTTTGTAATATTACACCTTTGATTAACCACATCCTTTAATACTATTTGATTTAACCAATCTTTGATTTACTATATTATGAAGCAGGGAAAAAAAATTGGCATAATGGACTTATTAAAAACTTACATACCTTTATAAGCATTATTGCCACTTGCTTATGACGTGCAGCGTTCGCCCTCTCTTCCTCTAAACTTGCTAAAGTTTTTTTCAAATCTTTCTCCAACTTTTTATTCTGGCTTTTCTCAAAATCAATCTGAAAATTTTAAAATACAAAAATCCATAATGAGAAAGCACTTATGTTGCCTAGAAGTGATTGCTTTTGTCTGTTAATATTTTAATTACAAATTAATATACCAGGATGGAAAAAATCATAGGGTGATAGTAATGCATTATATTTTTTGAATGGTGCACACTGGAACATATTTATGATACTGGATCTGTGAATTCATAAATTATGTTAGCACACTTGGATAGATTAAGTAAAGATTAAATAATTTCTGTTATGCTTTTCAATTAAAAGTGCTGCTTAATTATGAGAAATTTAGCTGCTAACAAATAGGCTAAATAACAGTCAGAAGAGTATATTTATCTTAGAATACATACATTGACCTATAACAACAAATCATCACTATACAAAAATAATGTTTAACAGGACATACCTCAGCTTTGAGTCTTTCTCTCTCCTTCTCTAGCATGTAAGTTACATCATCACCCTGTGCTGTGTCCTGAGCATGTTTTTGTTTCTCCTCTTCAAGTTCAGTGCATACCTAATTAAACAATAAAACGGGTGATCATTAATTAATTTACACTAGACACACAAATCTCAGTTTTATATGGTCTATTTCACTTAAACTATGAATACATTAAAAATATATACACACAAGGAGCTATGATTAATACATTACACCTTCTTATGCTGTTAAAACTAAAGTATAACATGCTGTGCTCTGAGGTTTTACAAATTTTTTAATGTTTTCAATTGTAAGAATACTAGTATATTTGTGTTCATTCCATTTGCAAATGATCAAATATTTATAAAATATGAGTAAAATTTCAGCAAATTAGATTTTATTTTATTTCATTTAAGGCCATTATTTTAATCCAGTACCTTGTGAAATCTTTTTTCAGAGTTTCCCAACTGTTCCCTCATTTTCAACTGTGCCTTTCTTTGGGTAGCTATCAGGTTCTCTAACTGGGCCAGCTGATTATCATACATGCTCTTTATGGCTGCTTCATCAAAGCCTGTATCATTTTTGCCCTCTGCATCTCGCTGAAGTGCCACAAATGGATCTCCCAGACCGAAGCGGCCATATTTTGCTTGATAAAGTAACTGTTTTGCCTTTTCAGCCTGTAAGATACATGACAAAACAACTAATATCTCATTCAAACAATTTTACCTAATTTCTAATTTTACCATAATTTTGTTAACATTTTTTCAAATCCATAACAAAGAGCAGAGGCTAAAATTAGAAAAATAGAAAGACATTTTGATGGAGCTCTTTTTTTTCTTTCTTGTTCCATGTAGATAAATAACCAGCTTTTTGTCATTTATTATATATACTTTTAATGTGGCAATAGTTATATCTCTTGCTTGGAGTTCTCCTTCAAAGTAGCTGAGAAGTCTCAGCAGGTCTGCTTTACTCCAGTCTGGACTTGGTTGTCTCTGCCAAAACAAAACAAAAATATCATGAGTCTTGACAAAAAGTTAACAAATTTATAACTAGATTACTTAAACAGGCCATATACATTTAAAGTCAGTCTTACCTTTAATGTACTTGACTGCATTTTGTCATTTATGTTTGCTGAATCAAAGCCTTGAACAACACTTGGTTTTAAATTTCTGGATGCCATAATCAGCTTTCACTCACTATTTGGCTAACCTAAGGTGAAAGTAGGAATTTAAAATGCTATGAAAAAACAAGTAGGTAAATATTTAATTTTTTATGGCTAAAAATATTGCTGGTTCTGGTAATGAAAGAATATTTACCATTTTTTTTTCAATAATTTCTTCAACATTTTAAGCATTCATTTTTTTAAATGGTCATAATAAAATAATTATTCAGTCTCTTACTTATACTTATTTTTAAGTTGTAAAGAATAACTAGGTCATTTGTCTGATTGATTTTGCCTTATAGTTATAATGGTAACACAGTTAACTATGGCATTTATAGTAATTTTATGAATAATTCACAACTTATAATTCAGCATATAGTCCCTTATTCTTGATCCAGTTGAAATATTTGTTTTTCATGATTAATAAAAATTCCAAATTGATTTGGGCAAGAGATACATTTTCAAGACTGTCCTGTGATAATGTTTGACAATTGTACGGACAGGTGTTTTCTACAATTTCGTTTTTTGATTTTCAAAAACCAAACTTTAATTTTAAAGCCTACTCAACTATTTAGTGACTTATGGTTGACTATTACTTTCTATTACCACTATCAGCCCAATCATTATTCCTATAGAACCTAGGCTATGTGATGTCATAAAAGGGGGCAATAAATGAAAATGACGTCAAGCATTGGGGGGGGGGGGGATTTGTAAGAATCTGTTATGGGGGGATATAATTTGTGTAACACATTTACAACAATGTGGAAAGGGGGTTAAAATCTTTAAAAATTAATTATTTCCTCAGTAATGTCTTTTTTTTTGGGGGGGGGGGGGGGGGGGGGATTTGTAAGAATCTGTTATGAGGGGATATAAATTGTGTAACACATTTACAACAATGTGGAAAGGGGGTTAAAATCTTTCAAAATTCATTAATTCCTCAGTAATGTCTTTTTTTTTTTTGGATTGACCCTAAATATGTCATTATGTGGCAAGTCACCTTTGATTAAGTCCGGCTATTTTCTGTTCAGCATGCCACTTTCAGTTTCCGTGTAGGATTCTCTTCCTTTGATTATTTGTGAATTGTTACGAAAGTTAACGTTTTTAAACAAATATTAATACAACAAAGGAATGTTTTAAATTAATATTTCATTGGGTGGTTGATTATAATACTTAAGGCTTTCACTGCAGCATTTTTTAATCGAAAAAATGTACCTTTTTTTTCGAAGAGCCAAAAAGAGAGAGGTTGGGTTTATTAAAAATATTTAAACTATTATTGTTTGGTTTATAAGACTAAACTTGGTCTCAAATGAAAGATAATTGAAAGGACTATATTTCTGTACACTTATTTCATTAGTTTAAATAAAATAAGGTACAGAAAAGAACCATAAAATGTGAAAACATTATATGCTAAACCATTTTTCCCCCATTCCCTATGAGTATTATATGTACGAATGTACGCATACCTCTTCTTTACTTCTATAACTATAACTCAAATCCTCTAAAACTACTACTATCGGAATCATGTGATGGATCTAAATATAAAATAAATCATATATCTAAAGAAATAGTATAAAACAATTCCAAAGCTTTTTGAGCTGTTAATCCTCTAGGAAACTTAATCACCTACTAAAGACTAAAGGCTTCTAGGCCTAGGGCCTAAGAGTAGCCATACATAGCAAAAAAAAAACATTTTGACATTTCAAAAGTTAAAAGGTTGAAGACAATGAATTGACTGAATTGAATGATTTCAAAATTTAATGGAAGTTAAATAGCCTGCCTATATCAACTATATTGTCTATATTATAATTGAATATGAAATATTCATGTCATTCATATAAAAACTTAATTTAAAAACAACTAATAAAATAATTTGGCCTAGTCATCATTTGTCATTTGTTTATATGAAATGCAGGTATACCTGAAATGCATATACTTAATTACTCATACGCCTGTTACAAGTTACATTAAACAAAAAAGTAATCCATACCAAAATATATTTTTTTTAAAAAAGCAGTCCCTTCGGACCTCCTGGCTCCTCTGAACTCTAGAATCCGACTAGACTGACTAGTACTAGTAGAATCGTGACATAAACTCCACAAATAAGTCAAGACTGCATTATTAACAGCCCACAACCATTATACCTAAATTAATTAACATCCTCTAGTGCATTTATGTCATTCAAATCTAATAATCATATATTAAGGAAACGTCGCCGAATAAATGTGTAGCGTTGTGTTTCCATTTTAAGGGGACGGTGTCAATAACAATCCATTAGCAAAGAAGTCAGCCATCTTTTGCTCGGTATGATCACGTGACTAGGAACCGCTTTTTGTAAGGGAACATGAAATAATGGAAAGTAACAAGCACTGCCAGATTGAGTATTATATTATATTAACATTTCCATCGTATCTACGGGTAATCATCAAACACTCATATAGTTCTAAACCAAATTAATTGCAAGCCTACTAGGAAGACCCCTATAGATCTCAACATTTCCAGGAAAAGGAAGTAGGCCTACAAGTCGGATATGAAAAATATAAAGAAGATGTTACCATTTAACATTACTTGAGAAATAGATAAATGATGCGTTAACTTTTGCAAACAGAGTCAAATTTCAGAATTGATAGGAGTTCTATGCCAATACCTATGCCATAACGCTGTCCAGCCACAATTTTACAGAAATACATTAAGCAGTGGCGTAGGAAAGGGTATAGTGTGGGCGGTCTGCCTGTGTGCACAGGCGTAGAAAGGTGGTGTGAAGAGTTCGATACGCCCCAGGCGGCCCTTTTTTAAAATTTATTTGGACTGGTGACAGTTTTGACAAACTGTGGAGGGGTTTCGTAGAAGTGAGGAGGCAAAAATTTTGGCCTTACCCTATCTACGTCACTGTCAGGGTGGCAATTTTTTTTTTTTACATTGAAAATCGGCCAGCTGCAGGTATTTTATTTTCGTGGAAAGCCAGGACCTACTCGGGGGGGGCACCAACTCTAGCTACCCCATAATGCTCACACGGTCATAAAATGTAAAGACGAGACAAATATTTCTATTACTTAGAAAGCGGCTAAGTCGACTGTAGCTTCAAAACTTGAGATTATGCTTCAAATAGGCTCATTCAGTGTGATTTGTGTGCATGACAATTTTTATGTGATCAAAGAATTTGAACTTAGTTTTAAACGATAACATGTAGCGTATGCAGTTTTGGGACATTCAAGTTAAAAAGCGTTGTAAAAACCACTTTACAAATTTGCTTAAAACAATACTATTCCGGACAGTGGTCCCTAAAAATTTTATTTGACCGATTCGAGAAGTGGGCAATCAATCACAACATTATCTTATTTTATTGCACTTTGCTCTATTCCTAAAAATATTCTATTCATTCGAGAGGGTGTAACTTTATAGACGAAGCAGTGTTTTGTTATGTTCAAACATGTTGATAATATCATATCAATAAAGCAATTTCAATTTATATTTCCTCAACTTGTTATTGTTGGCGAAGTTTGCACATTAAGTTAAATGTTTTAATTGATGTAGGCCAATTACTATTACTTTATTGTTTCACTGTTCACTGTTATGAATTTTAGGCTCTTTTATTTACGATATTTTAGGGCCAATATCAAATAATAGTGACAATATAGAAATAGATTAGGCCCAATTTTAATATTTTTAACTTTAACTATTAACAACTTAGGACTTGGTTACTTATGCCTATGCTTATAACTTTTATTAGTTTTACTTTAGGCCTAGGTAAGATAATTTAAGATGATACTAATACTAATATTTACTAGGAAGTGGGACAAATAATAAATATAATTTTTAAAAAGTAAAAGAAATTAATAATTAATTCTAATACTAGTTAGGATTGACAAAAAGCATGACATTTAAATTTAATAGTAATCCTATTAATTAAAATAATATTAATTTACTATTGAGAATTGATATTTCAGATTAGCATATTCATATGACCTGATAAAAACTTAGACTTAGACCTTACTAGTAAATAAAAAATTTATCTTCACAATAAAAATAAATGTGGTTGGAACAGTCACATTGTTGTAGCCCCATTTAGTATTCTGAAATTGTTTAATTGTTTTAGTAATAGTAATTATTACATTTTTAGGAAAACCAATCACTCATTTCAATATGTCTTATGTGTGAATTTCTGGTATCAACTTCATAAGTATAAGCATAAAGCCAAGGGCAAGGGGCCATTCATACTCATTCATCAATCATGTCACCTGGGGTAGATTTTTTACCCACCTCCTCTATCTGGCCTAAGATCACAAAATTTAGACATTCTCAATAACACAGTTACAAGTCACAAATTCATGATTCACCCCCCCCCCCCCCCCTTTTAAAAAAAAAAAAATAATTGTTTGTGACATATTATAAATATGAGCCCTCATAATAATAAAAGGTGATGTAGTCTACTACTTGCAAGTCTACTATAATTTTACATTCAAGTTCTATGGATAGAGTTAGTAGTATAAAATCATTGAGCTAAGGCTTAGGTCTTTTTAGCCCTGATAATAATTTTTTAAAATGTGGAGAGCCTTTATGGCCCAAGTGGATCAAAGTGAATAAGGGATCAAAGATCAGCACTATTTAGGATCTTAGTTAGTGTTAGGTTTACTTTTAAGCACTAAGAAATGCCAATAAGTGATCAAAGACGCAAAAGTAATCAATAAATCTTTGCCCAATAAACCTATTGTCTATACTCTTTATAGATTTCTTTCTGTGTGAGGTTGTTTATGGATGTCCCTTGACTCAAATATCTTAGGACCTTGATAAATATTTTGGAACACTCACACTGAATATGTAATCACAAAAAGCTTCCCCTACGTTTCCATACCCCAATTAATCAAAACACTGTTGAAAGTTAATTTAATCTTTTAAAAATAAATTAGCTTATTGTCACACAAAAAAATAATAATGATGTTATATGAACTTTTTGTGTTAGTTATCAGAATCAGGGCTGTGTTAAGGAAAAGCAGCACCCTGAGCAAAACCTGAAAATGGCGCCCATTGATATATAGAAACATTTGCACCCCATAGTTACATTATTGGGTCTGTTTTAATTCGCTCTACTATTACATTTAAAAACTTAATGGAAACGAGTTTAGAAACAACTATTTAGGAAACAACCAAATTTGAAAAAGTAGACACCAAACACAGACAACTGCTCTGTTTTACAAAAATTTGGGTATGCACTATAGGCAACAATATTTAGCATTAGTCCCTTAGTAACAAAAGTCAAACCCCCCCCCCCCCCCCTCCCAAAAAAAAAAACACTGTCAGAAAGATGACAGAATCATATGTTTATTACTGCTAACTTCTGTTCTCACACTTTAACACAGATAACTGCTCTGTTTTACAGAAATTTGGGAATGCACTATAGGCAACAATATTTAGCATTAGTCCATTAGTAACAAAAGTCAAACCCCCCCTCCCCCCCCTCCCAAAAAAAAAAACACTGTCAGAAAGATGACAGAATCATATGTTTATTACTGCTAACTTCTGTTTTCACACTTATGGAGTCTGTTAGAAGAAAAATAAATGCAATTAATTAACTCTGGAATTGCCATTGATTATTAGGCCAAGTTTTTTTTTTTTTTTTTTGTCAATTCAAATTGCTAACTATTTTCACTTGTTTATATAATAATAATTTTAATATAATAATATCACCTTTTTCTGAATTTTTTTACAGAGATCAAATGATTGACCAGTCATGTTTCCCTCTTGTAAGCAGTGGACTGTGAAGTTGCAATCCATTAACTATGCAACTATAGTTATTCGTGGCAAAAATACAGCAGTAGATATTGGCATCAGTTCATCCCAAAGTGAATATGAAAAAGCTCTTCCTTTTTCAACTATTCCTGGTCCTGGTGGTCTTCCCTGGTTTGGACAGTGGTTCAACTATAAACTGAGTAAATACACAATGATAAAAAAATGTGTATAAAATAAGTATTAGCTATTTAAAGATCAAGTGTTTAAACATATTTTTATTTTAAATATTATTTTTTAAGTCCAATTTCCTGAACAAACACATGGTACAACATAAGAACAATTTTTGTCACACATTTAATAGTTTAAAGAAAAATAACGGTTCAAATATTTAAAAATGTGTCATAAGCTAAGATCATTTATTTTGATTAAATAGATGAAAAGATGAGAAGACGACGAGATTTGGTGATAAGAGAATTGAATCAAAAGTTTGGAGATATTGTGAAAGAAACAATTGCAGGCAAGACTATGGTCCACCTTTTTGATCTTGATTTTATAAAACAGGCGAGTGATTCATGGATGTTATCTAATTAAATTTTGTTTGCTAAATTATTTCTGTTTAAAATTATATCAGAGTAATATAATTTAGCTTAAATTTACTTAGCCTATCTTTAGTCAATTTTATTGGTTTTCATAAAGATTTATGAAACGGAGCCCAAGTATCCGATTATTCCACCACTGCTTGAATGTGTTCAGTATTATCGCAAAACCAAAGATTTGGCTCCAGGACTAGGAAATAGGTACGATTATTTTATTTGTTACTGCTAGTATATCATAGTTTTATTACCCTTGGAAACTATTTAGTATTTCCTAAATTATATCCACAATAAAAGGTTATTATAATGAAGTTATGCTGAACCCGTTTTATTTGAAAGTTATGATACTCATTAGGATTTTATTGATATAACCATATCAATTCTAATTTCATTGGGACATGAGACTGGTGTGTTCTCCTTAGGACTTGTTTTGATTTCCTTAGGACTTGTTTTGATTTTAATACAAATGATACTGGCTTAGCTAAATAAATTACTTTTTTTAAAGACAGTATGGTGAGATTGTTAAGTTAAGTAAGAAGTTTTTAGCCAAAATAGACCACAACATGTAGAGTTTTTAAAACTCACTCGCCATAGAATAAATCTTTTTAAAATTTTGGCTTTACAGTAATGGAGAACAGTGGTACAAACTGCGCAGTGTTGTTCAGCACATCATGCTAAGACCCCAGAAATCTCTAGACTATCTTCCTTTACAAAACAAAGTTGCAAATGACTTTATCAAGAAATTTCCATCACTAATCTCCGAAAATGGAGAAATACCAGATATCAATCGCTGGATAGCTCGCTGGGGCATAGAGTGTGAGAGGCAAATCTACATTATTATGTATTATGTATTTAATTTTAGAAGGATATTTCTATGAATGTTTAAATTTATAATTTAAAAAAAATGTTTTATTGCACAAATGTTTTATTATATTGAACATATGACTTATTACCTAAATATTTTGATACTAACTAAATGGTATTTTTACTAAATGGTATTTTAAGTATTTTGATTTGTGATGTAAAAACTAGCTTTTATTTTTAAAGATAAACCAACAATATTTCTCTCAGCTGCTGCACACAACTGTTTTGATAGACGTATGGGCTACATAGATGACATAGGTCTTGCTGCAGGAGACATAATTATAGATAACAACAGCAAAGTTTTTACTCTGTCTACCAAACTTTTCTTCGCACTACCCTTCTATAGAGTAATTCCAACCCCAGCATTAAGACAGTTTTTTGATGCTGAAGATTGCATAAACAGGTAAGTGAAAACCTTGATTATTAGTAGTAATTGGATAATAGTTGTTGCGTACCGCTATATTGTGCTGAGAATTTAATCTCTTATTTGACTATACGGCTCATGACAAGCAGTACATAACAAAGGACATACCATTAATTAATTACCGTAATAAAGAACGATACACTAGGGCTAATGACAAATAATAATTTATTAAGTTAACTTTACAATAGAAAAATCAAATGTTATAAAACTAAGGCTATTGACTTACAGTACATCAATGAACTCGTACCGATACAAAGTTGAAAAAGGTGCACACACACACAGTAAATATTAATATACAAATCTACGATCAGTACAGTCTCGTAATTGTACAAAAATCTCTCTCTCTTTGTCTCACAGTCTCTATCTAGCTCTCTCCCTATGTCGATTGGCTTATTTATAGTCTTTCTTAGCGACTTTTCCAGAAAGGGGTTACTCATTGTAGCTGCGCCTAGACCTGTCTTGTAAGCTCTAAAGAATTCTAATTCTAAAGACTATAGACTGTGTTTACTTGTAGTCAAGGTCAAGGGAGACAATTTGTAATTAAACCACACCCATCATTGCCGAACTTGGGGTCACCCAGAGTTCATACACTGGTTTCACGATGTAAATATGACGCCTACCGTAACAATAGTATACGTTTTTAAAGTCTTAAATCTAAAAAATTGATTTTAAAGAATTATCAATTATATTTAAAAGTGCAAAAAAATATTTTTTCCTCCAAACAAATAGAGTCTGAATTTAGTATCAGAACCAGCTTGTATGAAGTTTGTTTAAAGCCTTTTAGATAGTCTCAGAGATAGAAGTTTGCAAATTCGGATATCATCCAAAACTTAAAACAAGTAATTTAATTGGTTTATGTAATGATTCATCAGTGCTTACGCAATGATTCATCGGAGGTATTTTAAAAAAAATTATAAAAAGCTATGATTATTTATTCTGAATAGAATTTAATTTCTAATTTAAGCATTGTTTTACCTTTGATAACTATATTTATGACCTTTTAAATATATTAATTATTAACAGCTCCGCAAAACAGTTGTTGGAGCAAGTGGTGAAGGAATACAACAAAGCACATGAAGAGGGCAAGCTCATTGGTGACAGATTCCAGTTTTTGTCATACATGCTGAACAATCAAAATATATCTTATAAAGATGTAACTGCTGTTGTACTATCTGTTTTGACAGACACTTTGAGCACAGTGAGTTATATAAACTATTGATTATTTTACCATATAAAATATGTGTTTCCGTTAGCTGCCATCATGTAGAGGTATGCAAACAGGTAAAGGATTAGAAGCATATTGTTGTCATTACTACTAGTCAAAATTACCAAATGCTTAGATTTCTACTGGAGTAATAGTATCTCATCATTATTTTCTACTTAATAATTTAAATGCATAAATTATATATTTGAAAGTAAGATAAAAAAATGTTAAATATTAACAATCAGAGTAGGATATTATAAGTGTATATTTTTTGGCGAGGTTAAACAAATTGAATATAATGTTATTTTTTAGACCACCCAGGCACTGCTCTCTAACCTCTACACCTTGGCCTCCAATCCTTCAGCCCAAGAGAAAGCCTATGAAGAAGCTAAAAAAATACTTCAATCTGGAGACTTGACAGTTGATGGCTTTAATTCATCTACTTATATCAAAGCTTGTATTAAGGAAACATTTAGGTAAAGTTATCATTATTTAATTTGCTTAATTATCTTTTTCGCATGAGAAAGACATACTTTATTGGTATTTGTGATGCTTCCTTTAGTACAAAATATTTTTATACAGGTTATTTCCAACTGGTCTTGATATACTGCGCCTCAGTCCTTGCAATATGGTTATTGGTGGTTATCAAGTACCAGAGGGTGTAAGTATATAATATGCTATTACATAAGTTTGATATGGGAAAATTTCCTTCATTAAACTGATAGCCCCCTGCGGGGTAGCAACAAAAAAGAGAGACACAAAAAGGATTGTGGGTAATTAATCTTACTACTAAACTAAAACTATTTTTAAAATTTTTTTTTTTTTTTTAAATAGTACCCGGTAATTTTAAAAGTAAAAATTTTTAGCTCTGGTTCCAACTACACAAGGCCAAACCATAAGCCAGTGAGGGTAGTCATGAAGGAAAACAGATTTTGGATAGCAAAGAGGTCTATGGGAAATGTTAATATATAACTTTGTATTTTTAGGGCTTTACTTGAGACTGAAACACCTTCGTCATTACTAAGGCCCACACCCACCCTTTGTAAACACTATTTAAGCACACCACCGCTGTCTCAAATTAATAACAGCTTCTAAGGGTGTGCAACAAAGCAACACAAAATATGCATGCTTTTCTCATCGTGACAATCAGCAACACATTCTTCTAACAAATAAAAACACATAAGCTTTTTGCTTGATTTTTGCCTTTGATCTAGTACCCAATGAATCAAAGTCTTGAATGTGGTCACTTTTTAGCTGGGGCTGGGGAGAAACTGGGAGGAAAGGGATGGAGGAGAAAGGGGCAGAGCCATGTGGTGGCTTTGAAATTATGGGAACTGAGTGTAACCCTGATAGCCTTAAACTGTCAGAAATGATATTTTTTAAATAAGGCTGATTAACACATCACTTAATTCATACCTCCATATTCTTGAAATTTAATTATATACTGTTGTTTTTTTTAGCTTAGCTGACAAATTAATGCTTAAAACTAAAAATCAATGGTCCTCAAAATATTTTAAACAGGAATATAAAACAGTTTTATTTTCTTCTAATGCATGCTTAAGAAACTTGCCATGTTCATATTATTATTATTTTTGTCCCTCCCACTCAGACCTTACTGTGTTTAAACAACTACATTTCATCACTGGACCCTAATATTATACCCAACCCAGAGACATTTTGTCCTGAGAGATGGGTGAGAGAGGATTTGGCTGGTGAAAAATTGCACCCATACCTCCTCACACCATTTAGCTTAGGCAGAAGGATGTGTGCAGGTAAACACTATTAGAGGGTTTTAAATTAAAGGGATTTCCTCAAGGCTGTCATTATTTTTTGTAATCCCCTAGGCCAGTGGTTCTCAACCTGTGGGTCACGACCCCTTTGGGGATCGAATGACCCTTTCACAGGGGTCGCCTAAGACACTCGAAAACACATATGCTCTACAGTTGTGAAGTAGCAATGAAAATAATATTGTTGTTGGGGGGTCCCCACAACATAAGGAACTGTATTAAAGGGTCGCAACATTAGGAAGGTTGAGAACCACTGCCCTGGGCTTTCATTTAAAAAGACATCAACTGCTTTGGGATTGTTAGTTCTGAATACTTATTTTCTAAAAAATGTTTCACTTCTACTTATAACGTATCATTCCTGTCTACTGTGTTTACATAAAATGTATGCTAACCAATGGTATGGTGTATTGCAATTATGCTCCTGTGTGGATGATGTTGATTTTCCTGTAACTTAAGTAACAAAAGTTTGAAAGTTCATAGCTCTGCACAAACATGTAAAACAAAAGTTTAATGTTCTATTATATCAGGTCGACGATTTGCTGAGCAGGAGCTTGTGATGATGATAGCCAAAATTCTTTCTCAGTATAGGCTTGAGTGGCACCATGAGAAACTACACCAAGTATTCAGAGTTTTGCAGTTTCCAGATGGAGATGTCAGTGTTAAATTCATACCTCGAAGTTCATAAAATATGTTTAATAGATTAACTAATTATGAAAGATAGTATTTTCAGTTAAAGCCACAAAAAGCAATATGTTAATACAAACGACCCCCTCCACCCCATGGCACTTTATTTTTAATGTATAGTATGTTTTGTTTCCTTGGGAATCAAAAAGCAATATAAAATGAATATTATATAATTTTATGCTGGGGGAATCAAATGGCAAAGTCTTTCTTTAGGAGGGTAATTTTGTATAATAAATTATATTGTTTATTTTTAAAGATTCATCAATTTATGCTGCAGCAAATAATCATTGTGTCCTAGGAGAAAGGTTGACTGAGAACAAGTCATGAAAATATGTTTTTTTGCATGTTGCCTGCCTGTTGTTTTAGCAATGTATTGCCAACATATTTGTTGATGAATTTTGCTCTGTCATCTAATGTTCATTAACCAATATCATTTACAAGCAAATAAATTATTTTGAATGATTTAAGACTTATTGTGAAGAGAAATAACCCTAATCTTGGGGATGCTAATGATCGGCCATTGATTTATGTTTTTCTGATTTATTTTGAAATAAATATTTGTAGGTTCTTGTAAACCACTATTTTTTTCCTGTATGTAATTTTACACTTAAAATTTTCCATATATTTATTTTAGGTTCTATAAAACCGATTTTAATTTAATAAAGAATATAAAACAATTGTATTTCTAGCTTATTTTCTCAATATAAATAATACCAAGGTATAGGAATCTTCTTTTCATTTTACTTTCTTTGTTGTGTGGCAAAGTTTTCAAAGTGCACCTAACTTTTTTATATTGTTGACAAATTTGTTAAATTTTAACATGTTGATCAATTAGGTAAATTCCATATCGATGAAATTTGAAATCAATGTGTAGTAGAGTTGTAAAGAGTGTTTTATAGGGCATTCCTCTCTGCAACTCTCTCTTCGGGTTATTTTGTTACAAAGAACAGCTGCAGAGAGAGCCTAATAGCATATGTTATGAATTAAAAAATACAATAACATCTTGCTGGGTGGCCGAGCGGTCTAAACTGTCTCTAACCAAATAGCTGATGGTCTGGAGTTCAATCCCCACCAAAGCCAACATCCCAAGCACCCTGGGTGGATGGGACTGGTTAGCCTTGGATGGCAACCCAACTAAGAGAAGGCAAACTCTGAATTTAAACCAGGAGCCAGAATGATCAACAAATTGATTGTGGGACCCTCAAATATAAGAAGAAGAAGGGAAACATTTCTAAATTTTTTAAGTAAACAAAACTGGAAAATATTTTTATCACTCATTGTGCAAGTTCTTTCATTTAGTACTTGTTTAACATTGGCCTAATCATATAAAGTTAGACTACATTGAAAGCCTTTTCCTAATTTTATCAAATTTGTTTTAATTACACTCAGGTGATGTGCGTTTATTCACATATTAGGTATCTCAACCAAAAGCTCGTATACCCCGACATCACTGATTTGCAGAACACTGCAAAGCTACAATTTAGTAAGTCTCAAGAGTACTAATAGTTTTAATCTATATTTAAAATCATGTCCCTAATTTACCAATTATGTAATAATAATGATGCAAACATAAGATGGCGGCATAAATTCTGTTTTTAAACAGAGTGCATATAACAAATGCAGCCATGTCAAGAAAATATATTTACCAAATTTTCATAAACAGAACGTTGATTAATTCTTTTTTAAAAATTTAAATGCCATTTAAGAATTAATTTTCACCCATGCAGTACAAACAATAGAATAAATACAGATGGAGACATGACCTAAGGTGCATGAATCTGTAGTAGCTTCTTTCTTTTAAATGAAGGATATGGAAGAAAAAATATTGGACAATGAATCTTTTTAATAAGTCTTTATTTTTTATAACTGTGCAGTTTAAATTGGTAAATATTTACCAAAGTACTAAAGCCAGCAAACATTTAATGGTAAAAACTACATAAACATAATATTTTCAATGCAACAACTTTCAAATACGGTACAGATTTTTTGTTGTTTTATTTGTTTTACAAATGAAATGCAAAGGGAAATAAAAAAATAACATAAAATTAAAAGAATGATTTTCAAATGTTATTTTTAAAAGTGAATTGTTGAAGCTTATGTCATCATAAGGTCATATGAATTTTTTTTAACTTTGCCCTACTTGCCTATTTTTTTAAAATCAAAATTTTATCCAACGTGATTTGGAAATTACTTCAGTAGAAAGTATGTTTGTTGTTAATTAAAAATAACTCTTATCTTGATGCTTTTTTTGTGTATAAAAATTTATTACAAAGTATCATTGCCACTTATATTACTAGAAGTTGTAGTAGAAGGCTGTTGAACAAATGTTGTGGCTGGGGGTCCACTCAAAAGTGTTGTGCGTATGCCTCCACCAACACTATCTTCAGGCTTAGGGCCACCTTGAATCACAACAATTTTTTGAGGGCCTGCTGAAATACTGGTTGTTAGAGAAGACTGTTGAGTTGTAACCAGTTTCACCAAGGGTGCAGCCTGAGTTGGTGTGCCTATAGGTGTTGAGGGTCTTGTTTGAGAAACTATAACAAATTTTTGTCCTGGTACACCAGTTGGCGTTGAGGGTAGCGAAGACAGCGGTCGGGTGTTAATAGAGGAGAGTCCAGGTGAGGGATTAAGAAAAGGCGATGAGATTAATGGAACAGGTGTACTAGGCTGCTGTTGAATCACTATTTGTGGTGGTCGCTGAAAAAAATGGTAAACATATATCTCTTTATTTTAAAAATATTTTTGTTTTATCTTAAGTCGTTAACATTTTTATTCCAAAATATAAAATTATTCCAAAATATAAAATAATAAAATAACTCCAAACAATAAATAAAATCAACTGTTTATCTAGCGCTGAAAGTGAAACCATAGGAGCCAAGCATATAAAAAAAAATTCTTTGCTATCGTGCTGTCCCCCTACAATATGCATTTGATGAAAAAAAATTCAGAAATAAAATTGTTAAAAAAATGTATTTAACCTGTGTCAATTGCAATGTTGATCTGGGTACAGCAAGTTGGTGAACTGCTGAGGTCGTAGCTGCCAAACTCTTCTCTTTTTGAGAAAACATTGAAAACATCATAGGTCCCAGGTAGCCATAGGCAACATTAAACTCATCAACAGTTTCAGTACTGTTGTGAAATGTTTTGAGGACAGCAGGAAGATATTTCTTTATGTGGGGGAAAAAATAACAGAAGTATTTTAGGGAAATTTACAAAATGATTCAATTCTATAAAAATTTTGCTCCAGTGCACAAAATGTAATTTGAAATTAAGATGCATGTCAGGGTTCATTAAAATGCTTTCCTCTTGCAAACAAATTTGCATTATTTTGAGAGGATTTTATTTAAAAACTGACTTTTATGTAGCTTTTATGACAAAATTATCTTACCAGAAGCTGCCTTTTGATGTGTTCAGCAGCAATCTTGTCCACACTGTTTAGTGCTGTCCCTTCATTGACTGATTTGATCCTATCCCCCAGTATGCATATGTATGGAAGCAAACATGACTTGATCACCTACTAGTTCAATAGAAAATATAAACTGAACTTTAGAAATACATTTATAACAATTAAATACAAGTCTATCATTCCAATAAACGATGAGAAAAGTTTCATTGGTCAAAATAACCCTGTTTGCCATTTGAATGAAAAGAAACTAAGCATACATCTTCACGATTTTGTTAGCTTTCTTACATCATATATAGTTTAGCCTGTTAACAAGGCAAGCGACAACTGCTAAATGAAGTGCGAAGTAGAGAGCAAGTTCAGGCTAAAAAGTAATAAATTAAATCAGTTGACCTCTGGTCCCAGCTCTCCAAGACCTGCCAGTGCACCATATTGGGTAGCTAGTGCTACATTCTCACTCTGGATAGCTTTGCTAAACTTTTTTGTCACCCTGGCTTGTATGTTATTGGTATTATTACTGTAATTCCTAGAAAATAAAAGCAAAACTTTGAAAATATTTGTGAAATGTGCTTTTTCTATTTATATTTGTGCGAAATATATAACCAAAAAAAGCTTTTTTTCTTCTTATTTTAAATAAAACAATATAAATATATGAACAGACCGGCAAATCTGTGCCACCAGTCTTGCTGCAAAGTCTCGTAGTGCCCAGTGGTTGTCCATGTCAGGTCGCAGACACAGCTGACGACTCACAACACATGTCATCACTGTTGGCAGCAGGTCATGAAGCTGATGAATAAGAAGTGAAAAAAATGAAAGTTGGCTAGTCTTGTTAATAAATGATTACCACAAAAAAAATCAACCACATACAAGTAGAAAGCAATAAAAGCTAATTAAAAATGATCTTTATAAATTTGTTTAAAGTTAACAAACGGCTACTCTAAAACTAATATGAATTATAACAGAAACTCTGAGAAACACACAATTGGTAGTTAAAAATATATAACTCATTTAATGAACGTCATGTGTCAAGGCACATGTAGATTCTGCTAAGAAATGGCACTAGGATCAGTGACCAATGAGTTAAGAATTACACATTTTTAAGTTGTTCAGATATGGAGACCATATAAAATTTACGAAGTGGCTAGGACGCGGGTCCTGTTAGCCAAAATCGCTATTCGGACCCGACTGATCACGTGGGGTCCATTTTCCATTGATCATGTGGCGGTTGCACCGCAGCAAAATTGTCCAATTGGTCTAGTTTTAAGATATGCCTGATAAATAAGATCTTGTGTGGTCTTGTGGTAGAGTGACCGCTTGACGATATTATATTTCAGTATCCATTCCCAGGTTCCCAGTATGGGATCGATTTTTTTTTTCTTCCCCATTTTAATTAAAAATATTTTATATTATATTTATATTATCATGTTCATTAGCTACAATAGTTTATGAGAAGTTTTTAAATATTTTGCAGCAATTTAAACAATTTAAAATGAAATCTTTTACTTTAATTGGTTGCCTACTCCATACTGGCCCCTAATTTATTTTATGGATTACTGGTACACAAACTCAAATAAAAAACTAAACAAAAATGTTTAGAAACCACTTTCACTTAATTTTTTTTTTATTATTAAATTTTTAATCATGTGCCTGTATTTTATACCCAGTAGCCAGGTATGGTTGAAAAAAGGACTAGCCCTTCAAAATAATAAGTCTATTTCTCATGCTTTATGCAATTGCATCCTCCAAGATGTTCATTCCAACTATCTTGTGAATTAAGTCAAGTATGAGAAAGATTATTGAGAGGAGATTAGAGTTACGAATGAGTTATCAGGAAAAACAATTGGTGTTCAGATGTATTACTACCAATCCCAGCGAAAAGGTGAGGTTTTTTGTTCTGATTAAGCCAAGCTCTCTTTAGAGGAATAGTTGAATTTAATTCATTTTGAATTAAATTTTCATTTAGCATACCTAATTATTCCATTAAGTACTGTGTAATTAAATCTTTTACTTTTAACTTAAATAATACAGATAAATCTAAATTAATGAAGGATTTAATCTTAATAATTACTGTACATTAATATTATTAGTTTTCTAAAATTCTCATGAAAATAAATGTATCTCTTTTATCTTGATTACTAGATATAAATAAAACCTTGATCTACGAACATTGCTGAAAATTAAAGAAAATTAGAAAAAAAAACTACTAAGAACTTTAACAAAGCAAAAAGAAAAAAAAAAAAAAAAAAAAAAAATGAAAAAATAAAAAAAAAATAAAGAAAAAAAATATAATATAAAAAATATAAATGTATCTCTTTTATCTTGATTACTAGATATAAATAAAACCTTAATCTACGAACATTGCTGAAAATTAAAAAAAATTAAAAAAAAAAACTACTAAGAACTTTAACAAAGCAAAAAGAAAAAAAAAAAAAGAATAAAACTATGAATCTATGAAATAACAATTGAGAGAAAAAATTTTTTTTTAAAAATAATCATACTATTACTGCACCCGGGTCCGAAGCCATTTAATCTATATGGAACCACTCCGGGTCCGAATAGCCATTTTGTCTACAGGGACCCGGGTCCGAATAGCCGCATCCTAAAATTTATGTTATTAGTTTATTAAGATTCAAAACATTTTAAATTTACACCCAATAACAGAATGGAAATGATTACTTACATATTTATCCAAATAAATGGTTTGGTTGTCTAGCAAAGATTTGACCATTCTCATGAGGTAGATAAGAAGAGCGAGATTATTCTGCACAGCGTTGATCTTGACGCCCTCAGAAGCAAAAGCCACAAACCTTGGTAGCATTTGATGGAGACCTGGATCAAACTGTAAACTCTGCAGTGCTTCCTTTAGTATAATAAAACCGCAGGATTATAAAAGTGAAACATTTACAAAATAAATAGAAATGTGAGGTTATGTTTTCTTACATTACAGTCAAATTTAAAAAAAAATCACAAGAATGTTTTAAGAAATGTATGTTATATATATTTAAATTATATCTCATAATTACATATTAATAATTTATCTGTAAATATATTTCAATAAATTCCTTTTTAAAAAAATTAAGAATAAATAATGGCTGGAAAAGGAATTATTGAAAATATACTCTTTTGCTCACAGATCTTTTCTGTTCATCAGGGCCAACACAACTTTCAGTTATTTCTTTGTAGTAATACTGCTGCTCCTGTAATGTTGCAAATGTAAGGAAAAACAAATGAAGCTTATAATAATTTTAAATCAAAGTCTAATGCAAATTGAAGTGGTTATTACATGACATATCAGCAAGTATTCCCAAGTCAAAAATAAGCTTCATTCAGTTATTAAGTGATAACTTTAGGACTTTGACACATAATCAAAATATACTGCTCATCAAACAGAATAGTACAAAAACTATAATAAGTAAATGAGTAATATTTTGATGATATACAATTAAACTTTATGTGGATAAAAGTATTCTAATCAAGTTGCAGTTATTTTAAATAATTAAGCAATAAATAATAAAAGCACATCTTCTCAGCTAAGTATCAACACTCATATTAAGATGAGTTTTAATTACAATGATTGCAAGTAAATGAGAAAAATTCAAATCTGTGGACACATGATGCTGAAAAACTCACAACAGACAGTTCATGAGTGGCCAAATTTTTAAGCATCACTGCTTCTTTGTGTTTATTATGATGCTTATGTTTGTTGGCATCTAAGTGTGGGCGTTTCAATTGCCTGTTTCCACCAGATTTCAGAGATGTATCCAGGATCTCCTGTTTCTGAAGGTCTTTAGTGGCAGGTGGAGGATTTTCAGGTAAAGCAGGCTGAACACCGTCAATGGACAGCCAGTGAGCTAGAAAGTAGGTATACTTATTGACATTTTAAAATAGAATTAGGCACTAACTTTTAAATGCATCTGAAACAATATCTACATAAACATATCTTTTAAAATGAGAAAAAAAAAATTATATTTTTCAACTATACTGTGGTTATGTCAGTTCCAAACCTTTTAAAGTGACATCATTTGGTATTTTTGGCAGGGGATCTGCTACAACAGCATGAAGGTCTACTTCTTTTTCTTCAGTAAAAAAGATTTCTCGCCCGCCCCCGCTAGCATGCCGAAAGGGGATGTAGCCATCTTTATTGGTGTGGCCATATATTGGCTAGAATCATCAAGAACCATCATAATTAAATTATTTACTATTATTGGTAAAGAAAGCTGAAGTTGTTCATACATTAAAATAACTAAGTCATCAATCACTTAAACAATTCACAATACATTAAAAATTATATTTAAATTGGTGTGTGACATTCTTCATGCCACTATAAATATTTTAAACCTAAATTTTTATTTCTGCATAGTTATCAACCCATCGTTAAAATATTTTTGCAGGATCCTTTAAGAAATTTTGGGAACCAGCCTATATGTTATACCTCAACATTTTTTATTTGTAATGCTTGATCAAAATCCAAACACGTTAGCTTGGTTCTTCTCCCATGCTGTCGCAATTTTTCAGCTTCCTGAGAAAAGATAATATTAAATGGAATCTGCAAGTAAATATTTTTAGTGTTTAAAAAACTCTTATTATTTAATTGAGAATCTTATAGTTATTTTTTGCCAAAGAAAATTTATCCACAAAAAAAAAAACAAGTTCTATAGTCACTACAGAGTTGTGTGTGTTAAATACAAATAGATGATTTTAAAATCTAAGTCATCTAATTAAGTATGAAAGTCACTTAACAATCAAGAGTCTTTGGTTCTTGAAAAGTTAAAACTGCTAATTACATTATAATTAAAAAGATGTAAACATAATTTCATTACAAATCAATTTCTCCAGATATAATGACAGGTACCTGCACAATAAGCTTAAGCCTGTATGATATGTCCTCTGACAAAAATGAAGCTGCTTCATCTGCTAAGCCAGAGATTCCAATGGATTCTGATATAACTTTAATAGATTCTGAAGACAAAATGGATCCAAATCGACTCTCAGATGCCATTTATTTCCTTTCAATATACCTGAAATGAAATCAAAATACAAGTTTCATAATGACTTATGAGAAAAATATAACAGTGAATAACAGAGCACAGTCTAATTCAGATTTCCTAAAAAAAATTGTATTTCATTGTACATCTTTACAATTCAGCAGATTCAATATTAATCAATTAAGTATTGCAAAAATATTTGTTGAAATGACTCTACTCACCATTATGTTAATTCTTCAATATTGAATTCCAACTTTATTATCCACTCATGGCAACTGAAAGGATGTCAAGAGAGCTCCATGTCTTTCCTAAAAACCTTTCAATGTCAAGAAAAAAATGCAATAAACAAATGTCATCATTTCAGCTCTTTTCAATTTACAAAAATATGTATGACAGTCTGATAACTAGGCTAGTTTCCAAACCCATGTTATAAAAGTATTGAATTGCAACATTTTGCAACGTCCATGATTGGCTGTGCTTAGACTTAGAGAGTATTAATGTACCTACATTACTACATTGAATTTTTATTATAGATCGCTGAGGTCCTATATTTGGAAATGTTTAGTATCGTTGCAGTATATTCACAGTAAGACCCACGAACAAACTGTTATATATAATACTGTATGTTTAACTGAACTGTGTTATGTAGTACACTTTTTCCCAAAGCGTGAACTTTCTTTGACCCCCGCATTAGACTCCTAGCAGACGGTAACATTTGTTGTGGGCGTGGTTAAATCCTTTGATGTATCTTGTTTACTACCGCCTTCCAATTAAACATGGTTAGTAGGTCTACTAGTATCTTGTCGAAGGTTCTCGATTGTATTAGAAAAGTAAGGGCATTTCTAAGTAAGACGCGTTGGTTGACCCACATATATAAGGGATTGACAGGCACAGAGAGGGACGGAGATTCAGATAGATAGTTGTAACTATACGAGATTTGCATTATTCTTTGTGTTCTTATATATGTGTTTATTCGCATTTCATCATTGTACATTATTAATTGGCACATTGTACTAACTGTGTACTGGTACAAGATCTACCAGACTCTGTAAGTTGATCATTTGTAATTATATTTCTTTTGTTTTATAATTGTATTCTTACTAAATTAAATTTTATTAATTGTAATTGGTACTGTTTTCAGTGTCATATTTTTGTTAATGTATTTCTTCTTCTTCTTCTTTATTTTAAGGGCCCACGATCAATGAATTGATCATTCTGGCTTCTATGTTTCAGAGGGGTTTGCGATGTTACTGTTCATGGGTTTCAATGGGATACTTCACTGGTTGCAAGGGCGACTCAGCAGTGGTTTTATTAACTGGGGGTTGGAATACAGGAGGCAATAGACACTATGGTATAGATACTTCGGTAAGTCAAGGGAGACTACTACTTTTTGTGTATGGGATTTCGCAATCGGCGCCAAAAAATCCGAGTTTTTAATTTTCCGATGTGTGTGTCTATTTATTATTAAATTAGTACTTTCGATATATATTTGAGTTCCGTTTTCGGCCTTATAATTAGGTAGACATCTTGGCCTACATTTTAATCAATTTCTTTTTCATTTACAATCAGTCAGCTTTGAGAAAATCCTTGGTAAATATAAGGCAACTTTCATCATTAAAATTAAGTCGAAGGAAAAAATTTGTCACTACCAAATTTTTTTTGCATCTGGGGAATCTATTGATCTACATGTATGCCAATTTTCACAGCGATAAGTGTCTTACGAGAGACGCTATGTTTCTACGCGTTCGCAGCAGGTCATGCAGCTCGCTCAACCTAATTTCGCCATGGGGTGGGCCACGCCCCCTTTGTAATGGCGGAAGTTGCCGATACTTAGGAAATATTAATTTATTACCACTATCTACATCAAAATAATTGATAACTTGTGTTTCAGAATGCATTTTGAAGACATTTAAACTGGAATGTTTTAATTTGAGCTTTAACAACCCGGTAGAATCCATATTATAAATGATCAAAATTTACCGTGTGCAACACGTTGTCATTGGCAACCATTCACAGCCACTTGCATAACGGCTGTATCGTAGTACTACCTCAGAGTTTCATTCATAAGAGTTTGCCGTGTGCAAAAACTACTATACCATTGGTCAGGGAAAGCTTTAATTAATTATTCATGTGCCAAAGTTGAAAGTTTAAACTAAGTCGACCCTAAACAGTATTTTAGTGATAAGGCGATGCGTTGCCTTATATAAAGTATATAGTCATTGCGCATGACGCGATCAGCGGAATGAGGTCACAAGATGTGGAGGTTTCGTCCATAGTAAAAAATACCAAACGAACTCACACTTTAAAAATTCATAGCTCAAAAAGTACTTAAGCTAAAAAGTTGATTCTGGTTTCATTTTTTTATTTGAAATTAGCTCTAACTAACTGTGCTATTAAAAAAATTATTTGAATTTTTTTAAATTTTGTATCCAAGTGCCTACTATGGTATCTTCCTTTGTTAGGCACTGTTTTGAGGAGCCATAACATAAAACAAGAGGTTAATTTCTCACAATAGAAGTCAGTGCGTAACAACTGCTAGAAACAGACTGTAATATCATATAATAAGTTGGGTAAGCCAATAAATTGTAACCCTCACTAACTCAACTAACTGCAGTAACAATGCTCTCCTTCAAATTTCTCCGTCAGCTGTTCGGCACTTATTCTACTTAAATTATTGTCAATAATTACTACTCTACTACTACTAGCAGAGAGTGAACTATTTTTAACCAACATTTGTAATCAAAATGAGGGATAGTTTTATAGGAATTTTACAGAGACTTGTGAAAGCAAAGTATTTTTTTACAGTGCAATTGTTGTCTGAAGACGATGTTTTGTTCCAGTTTGTTAGTATCCCAACATATTTATCTTTTCCTGCTTCCGGCTCGGTGTTCAGCATTTCCAGATAAACGTAGACTTGAAATGTCAATGCATGCATTTTGCTTTAGATCTTCAGTGTCTTTATTATTTATTCGAATTGTTACACAATGAAGCATGTATTGCATTCTTGATCTTAATCTTGATTTTAAATTAAATATTGTAATTCAAAATATGTAGGCTTGAAAAGAAATGGCAGCACAATTAAAATATTTTTTTAAAGGCTAAACATAAATTGTTAACCTTTTTATTTGCTTTACACGACTTGAACGCAATCGTTCAAATTCTCCATATTTTTAGGAATGATGATAACCAATTTTAAAAATTTAGAAGAATAATACAATATAATATAGCAAAGGGAGTAGATAATGTATGCTTAATTGATGCTAAGCATAAGGGGTCCATAAAATAAAATTTTAAAATATTGAGTTGATATTAAATAAAGAGTTTAAAAGTCACTAAATTTCCTATGAGCATCAGTTAAATTAGAACAAAAGTATTTATGACACTACTAAATGATTTAAAATATATTTTGACGTCTTTATAATTTATCGTTACAATATATGTTACTTAAGTTAAGTGGCATAATCTCGTAAAACTGCTAACCGTGCTTTGTCCAGATCAGAAGAGACAAGAGAATTAGAGACTGCCTCTAATGACTTTCGTTAGAAACGCATATTTTATAAATTTAACGTGAAATATGTAAAAAAAAAAAATAAAAAAAAAAAGAATTACAAAGTTTATATATATATATCCTGCGAAACCTGGACATTAACAGCCGATCTTGAAAAAAAAAAAATAATGACTTTCGTTAGAAACGCATATTTTAAAAATTTAACGAGAAATATGTAAAAAAAAAAAATAAAAAAAAAAAGAATTACAAAGTTTATATATATATATCCTGCGAATCCTGGACATTAACAGCCGATCTTGAAAAAAAAAAAAAGGCGATGGAGATGAGATGCTTCAGAAGCATTTTTGGCATCTGCTATAGGGATCATATCTCAAATGATACTGTGAAAGAAAGCGTTCGCCAGGCATTGGGGAGTACGATGACCTACTGGTGACTGTGAAAAAACGCAAACTACAATGGTACGGCCACGTAACAAGGAAACAAGGGATTGCCTAAGAAATATTGCAGGGCACCACAAGAGGAGGGAGAAGAAGAGGAAGATAAAGAAAAAGATGGGAGGATAACATCAAAGAGTGGAAAGGACTAACACGGGCGATGCAGTGTATAGAGCTGACGACAGAGAGGAATGGAGGAGGATGGTTCTCATGTCATCTGTGGCGTCCCAACGGTCCAAGGACTAAGGGACATGAGGATGAGGATATAGATCCTTTCTCTTTACAACAGGCCCTCCCGCACTCGACATGTTTTATATTAATAGTAGTGCTGACTAAGTACTGAGCACGAGAAAAAACTATCACGCAGGGAGCTTTCATGAGGGACGTCTGAACTCCGTTCAGGTTGATTTTTTTTCCTTTAGGAGGAGGAGAATTATATTAATCAATAAAGAGCCACTGTTATATTTTAAGACTGTCTGTAGGACTATTGTTTAAAGGTCGGCGGTTATTGTGTAGGACTGTCTGTAGTCATACTGTTTAAAAGCCGGCATATATAGAGAAGATAATTTTATTATTATTATTTATTAAATTATTTTTTTTGTAAAACATGTATCCACTAAGTATTTCCTCAAAATAACCAGATGCGGTTTAAAAAAAATACTGCACCCGGTTAAGCCGTAGTGTATAGGGCTCCTGTGAGGTCAACAGTCATCTGAGCCACTTCTCATTGCATGAACTGAAGACGTTAGCTATCACATGACATTTGTTATGTTTTGATTTACCTGCCTTTGAAACGAATGTGTACATGGTAGGCTTGAACTTAAAATTAAATTTAAGATTTGCAAAGCATGTATCTCATTGTAACTAAACACAAAATTATGCACAATTTCATATATTAATGACATCTATCTTAATTTCAGCCTAAAATTAAAATAAAATGAGTTAAATTAAAGTCATTAATTATTTAAAATATATGTGACACAATTAATTTTCAATACTTTCACTTTCAATGTTCAACATAGTTTACATAGACAAGATTGCCTTGCGTCTTCATTGATCATTGCCTTCATAATTCATAAACTTCATACTACATTCACAACATATTGAGACTGAGAGAGACATTTTTTATTGTGTATAGTATAATTAACAGAGTAGTATTAGTATTACTATAAATATACTATATTATATATTATTACTATTAACTATATTAATATTGTGAGTATATTTTTATTTTTAGTTGTAGTGGCCAATCTAGTGGCCTGCCTAATCATGCCTAATGTCAATGTCACTAATGATAAGATAGTATGTAATTACTTTAGTTAACTTTAGTATTACTAAGTAACTAAGTATTAGTCTGGCCTACCTATTATTATAGTAATTAGTAATGTAAGTGACAATTGGAGTTGGAGGTAAAACTGAAATTACAGTGTTTCTAACCAGAACCAGGGGTGTCGTTTCAGGTTCTTTCAGGGGGATGGGGCAAAACCAAAAATTGGACGGCTTGTTAAGTTGTTTATTACTGGATGTGCAAGTTCATAGCAATTCAAATAAAACATATAAATTCGGGGGAGGGGGGGGGAGGGGGGGTAGTTTAGTCAAATGCTCCACCCTGCCCTATCCAAATGACGTCCCTGTTACTAACACTGGCAATAAGGAACAACAGACTCGCATTAACTCACAATACTAAATTACTAAATAAATTCATTTTTATAAAAATTTTATTTGCAGGCCCATCACCGACTATTGCTTATTTTGGCATATTGAAATTCAGCTAATTTCTAATTGGTGCACCACTTTGAGTTTTTTTGTAGAAATCTCTCCCTCTTGTTTATTCTTGGATTGTTATTAGAGTTCACTTTTCTTTATTTTAATATTAATACACTGATAGAATTTTTGATAATTTCATAATGCAGAGATGCATTTTGCATATACTCTAATTTATTAGTTTTTCAGTTTCAGCATTCTACATTTAATTGGAAAGCACCAAAATGGGTTCTAGTAAAAACCGAGTAGAAGTGTCTTTGTTTGGGCTTTAAAGCGGCAGACAAAAAGAAAATAATCTAGTAGTACTGGTACCCATTCATAGCTAGATCTGTTATTTTAGTACTTTAAAAAAAAAGAATTTAAACAAGTTTAATAAATTAATTATAAGGGAACGACTTTGGAAAAACAGTAATATTATACCTTAATTTTTTAGAAGAATCAGGTTATTTGTTAGAGAGACCATCCATAAATTAGGCCATGCTATTTTGGAAAAATTTTACCCCCTTTCCCCCATTGTTACATATTTGTAACACAAATTAGACACTTTTACCACACATCATCACAAATTTGCCTCTCCCCATCGAAGTGTGACTTCATTTATAGATACCCTCACATAAAATATTTTGCACATAGTTACATGGGTGCACGCGGGGGGGGGGACGCAAGGGGGGGCACTTGCCCCCCCCCCCCCCCCCCCCCC